TACCGTGGTCTCTCTCTCGAAAAAAAAACCACCGAGAGACGCAGCGGTCTTTGAGATAAAAGGCCCATGAAACGAATTTTGGGCTGGGATAAATCAATTTAGATTGGGATTTTACCAATAGCACATTGTTCAGTGGGCCAAAAGAAAAAACGTAGAAGATCAAAAGCCCGACTTCTGTACGAAAATTTGAAAACACAGTGGACTATTTCCTACCTCCTTCCCCTTCGTATCGTAAGCTCTCTGCCTTTCCACTGTGATACATCCGCGGTCCCCAAAGCGCGTCACCGGCTCCAAACGCATTTCACACGAAACCGGACCTCACTTAATCCCTTCACCCCTAAGCTGACAGTGCAGTGGAAGCTGCACTGTCAGCTTCCACTGAAAGGGAAGCATAAAAGGGAGGCAATAAGCCGCCTCCCTTTCATCACCTGACCTCATTCTCTGAGGGTGGGTATGCACGAGAGAGCGTGATCATGTGGCAAAAGTGTGGCTGGCCCAACAAGCACGAAGCTTCCACAGCATTGTCAGCGACGTGGGGACTGCAACACCCGACGTCGCGGATCCACAGTGACTGAAAGGCAGGGACAAAATGTAGTTTTCCCACGGCCGTTGCTTCCAGGAGCGAGCGCCTCAGCTCACAAAATAACTCCCGCCGCGCAAAAAAAATGGTTTTGTTTCGCAGCTTGACGGCATGGCTGGTACTTGGCACGATAGCGTCGGAGCGTCTGCACACAGTGTCTATCAGTGAAAATATTTTTAAAAAAAGTCAGAAAAACCTAAGCACTTCTTAAGAGTTGTGAATGGGAAAACATGAATGTCCGACGATGTGAACGCTAGAGGTGGCGCGATGTTTGTCGGCGTCGAGACGAGCAGAAGCACCGCCGACGATGTGGATGCTAAAGGTGGTGCCAGGTTTGTCTGCGGCAAGACGAGCAGAAGCGCCACCAACGATGTGGATGATGGAGGCGACGCCATGTTGGTCGGCGGCGAGACGAGCAGAAGCCTCCGAGTGTGCGCCAACATGTCCGTTTTAACCGGCGCGGGGCCCGTAGTGGCATGGAGTTGCGGCGGTTAGTTTTATCGGTGCGCTAATGGCACGGACACGCAGCACTATCCGGCAGCAATCGTTGAAACTGACGCACATAGCGGCCATGGGGAGCCTTGCCGCTGCGCGCCAGCCAATGGGACCTTTGGGATCGGAAACTAGGTGCCGTTTTCGCACTTCAAACTGATGACGTCGACTTGCTCCATAAGTCAGATAACGCTTTCACATAAAAAAAAAAAAAAAAAAAGATGCGAGACGAGACTCACGAGACCACAAGAGCGCGGAATGCGAGACAGCGAGAAAACCATGCAAGACCGGATGGACAATTGATGCAGGGTACTTTGTGTCGGGCGGCTGCTTGCGCCACATTACACACGCATGCTCAACTACGGTATTCAGTTTAGTTTTGGTTTTGAAAGGCGACCGAAATCGCTGTTTTGGCGCAGATTACCCATACTTTGGCAAAATGTAGCAGGATGTAGCAGGGTTAACCCTTTGGTGCAGTTTTGCACAATTCGCACAGCAATCACATCACCGCATTCTGTACTTTCGCAACACTGGAATAGAATGGGAACTACTTCCTTTTGCCCGGAACGCAGTGTTAATGGAATGGGCTCAGATTTTATGCGAGCTGTGTCAATCTCCGGTCAGGGCCTACGACCTGCTGGCACAACACTAGCGCACAGTGAAAGTGGCTCTAGAAACAGCATAATTTCACTGAAGGTAACTGACGACTTGACTGTCTCATTCTCCTTTGAAAGTGGTGCACCCGCACGAAGCAACCAAAACTAAAGTTGTAGATGGACAAGGAGTTGTTCCTGGCACCGCGAGACACAACATAGCGGCTGTTTGTAACAACATGGCCCTGACTCACCGATCATCCTCAGTGCTACATGCGTCGAGTGCGGCAATGTTTTTGAGCGAAGATAAAAAGCCAGAAGGCGAGATCACTCCGGACTCCCAATTTTTAGTATTTCAAAAAGAAGGGCCGTAGTGCGTTTGCAATCGCGTTAAAAAACGTTTTACGAATGACGTTATTACATTTCTATATTTTATAACTGATTAAGTCACAAATAAAAGAAGCAAGGAGGTGAAAGGTAGGAGAAAAACGCCAAAAATAAAAAGGCGTACGAGCGCACATGGGTACTTTATTCTTAGCGAAATGGTGGGTTTTTTTTGCATGCCTATGACTACAACTTGCATAGTTTTTGACAAAAAAACAACAAACAAATACGACCTTTAGGCTGTCAGTGCCCCTTAAAGGGTGAACGGAGTACAGTGATGTGATTGGCCTAAGCCATTTTGGCGCACGTTTCAGAGCAACCGAACAGTGTTTTGGGGCAGCAAATGTGGCCTTTGGAGCAACCAAAACAGTGTTTTGGAGCAGCAAAACCGGCTTTTGGAGCAGCCAAGACAGTGTTTCGAAGCAGCAAAAGTGGGTTTTGAAGCAGATGTTCTTAGGAAAATAAAAATATTTGAAGTGCTGTACAAACGAAGGGCACTTTGTGTTGTGTTGTGATGTGTTGCTAGGGAACTCACTGCTTCTGTTTTTACTGCTCAGACATCTCACAAGTGTACAGCGTTGTAGGCATTGACATGCAATTTCGAAAAACCACTTGTTACCGTTCTACTGGTTCCCGACGTGCCAGGTTTTCTTCAAAAGTAAGCAAAAGTAAAACAATGAATTGCAAGCACCCCAGCTGGTGCCTCAGTCACGCAATCATGTTCGCATACACGTGAAGCCAACTTTGGCAGGCTTGCTGTTGGGCATGCTTCGTCAAGCGAGCGCAAACAACGGCTGTCCGATTGAAACCGAAACCATGCCCCTCAGCTACGTCGCTAACTTATCCCCAAAATTGTACACAAGATGTATTTTCGAGCATGCGACAAAAACAGTCCAGTGGCACGTGCTTGCCAGGCCGGCAAGCAAGGTACAAGCTAAACACACAAAAAATAAAGAACCTGAGTGCATCGATGCAAGACATTGCGAGCTAAAGTCAAAAAGTTCTTGGAGCGCTTTGTGCAACGACTGAACTCGAGGCAAACAAGCGCGCTGTGCGGATTCATCGTGCAGACATTGCCTTCTTTGCTTTAGCTCACTTCTCTTCAACAACTTCTTTTTTTGCGGCAGATTTTTCACAAACCAAGGTCTCTCTCGAAAGAAGGCCCAACGAGAGGAATCTAGATAATCAATACTTTGACAGAGCAGTCTTTAAATTAAAGATGGATTTTTGTAGTAACGTATGATTTAAACAAGAACTGGAAAGTTGATGAACATGCGGCGGTACTTAGTGTCATTTTAGAAAATACCATATTTGCAGTGATGTGGGGACGGCAACATTCGACGTCGCGCGACCACGGTGACTGAAAGGCAGTGACCCAAATATAGTTTTCCCACAGCCGTTGCTTCAGCTCACAAAGTAACTCCTGGCACGCAAAAACATGGTTTCGTTTCACAGCATGACGGCATAGCTGGTACCCAGCACGCTAGCATCGAAGCGTCTGCACACATCCGCGTCTATCGCTGAAAATATTAAAAAAAAAAGACGAGACCCACAAGAGACAGCGCGAGACGTGAGACACTGGGAAAACCATGCAAGACCGGGTGGACAATTGATGCACGGTACTTTGTGTCAGGCTAATGTCAGGTGGCCGTTTGCGCCACATAACACACGCCTGCTCAATTACAGTACTCAGTTTAGTTTCGGTTTTGAAAGGCAACCTATATTGGTCCTTTGGCACAGGCTTTGCGCAGATTACCCATATTTTGGCAAAATGTAGCAGGATGTAGCAGGGTTAGCCGCTTGGCGCAGTTTGGCGCAGTAATCACATCACTGGGAGTACAGCGGTGCTGTTGTGCAGGTGTTAAAAGCAGACAGCAAGATAGCTTCTCCTTGTGCGACGCTCAAAGTAGAAATTCTGGAGGCCTTATTGAACAAACAACACACTGACCATGCACCTGTGGAGGCTATACAGTCTGTTTGCGAAGAAAATGGGTGGTTTTAATTTCTGCCGTCTGTTGCAAGCCTTTTACGCTCAATCGCGTGCAATCAATGTCTGCAGTGACACCAACTGCATGAATCACTTTGTCCAACTATCACTCAGCTAAGTACAATGATTGCTTTGGGGAATCATACTTTTGCAGTTGTTTCTGCATTTTATCACAACTTTATGCTGTTTTTCTGGTGACATAATAGCTATCAAAAGCCATTTTTTTACGTTTAGGAGTTAAAGAAATTGAATGGTGGAGTTGAGCCACTCCAGGAGTGGGAACGGGCCCACTACACTATTGATGTGTTGACATGAAGCTGCCGAAAGAAATCTGGGAAACAAGCTCGTGTTCACTCAGGATGTCACAACCCTTAAAACTGTTATAAATAATTTAAACATTAAATCAAATCATTCAAGATGAGGAGCTTTGTAAGAGGGGCTTGGCTTCAATTTAGCGGCTAATAACGGTCGATAGCTTTTACAGCGATAAATGCACATCGCGTTCAGCACCAGTCGCTCATTGCAACGAGTATCGAAAGCGTGTCAAGATAATCTACGCAACTACTGTGAAACAAATATCATATTACACAGTAAAACGTTTGGTGAAACTTTTTTCGACAGTTGTCGTAAATCAAAGCGACAAAAAATACAAAAAAAAAACAACACAAAAACGACTATCAGTACCTACAGTGATCATTCGCCGGAGACTTACAAGACCACAATCTATAGCCTGTTAAAAGTTCGACGGCGGGGAGTAAACCGCAGACATAGTAACAAACACGAGAAGAACTACTGTATATACAGGCGATACATGAAACATTCAATTTGGCATGTTGAATTCAGAAGGCTACGACTAGTGCTGGTCAGTTAGGCTTAGGTGTAATCGACAATCCCAGTTAGGTGTGTTGATAACAAAGTAATGAAAAAATATTACGACGTATACAAATGAAAGTGGTATAGCTACCTGATAATCCCGAACTTCGTGAAATCGTGAGAACTTCTCAGCCATCCCAGTAGGAAATGCTTTACGACGCAGCAACGTTCTCGAAATAAACCATCTTGGAAGCTGCTGCAATGACTGTGTCAATGTTGCTAGGTGATGTTTACTTCGACGCTTCGACCAACACCACCAACACCTCCAACCCGCGTCGCCCGCGTCTTTCGCCGAACCGATCGGCTACAGTTAGTTCTGCGTTGGTTCGGAATCTGTTTACTGACTTGTATTTGTTTCCACTGCTGCTCCTGTCTTTCTAATTTTTCCCAATGTAATCGGAATGTTTTATGGTTATTATTATTTTTGTAACAATCAACAAAAACTGCTCTCGATCGCTGAATTTTCAGAACGGTGTGCATTGCTTGTCTTAATTAATGTTTTGATGCACGATGGAGCCAACGCTGGCATGTAAAAGGAGAGAAAGTTAATTAAACCCTGTGGGGCAGGTTCTTATCAGACTTGACACTTTGACATTTGCTTATCAGAGAAATCTGCCGACTCACGTGAACGCTTTCTACCAAAACCGATTTGTGACAATTTCTCTCACTAGCTTGGGTTTTAGGGGTTTTAGAATTATTTTGTTTGCTACTGCCAAAGCCAGAATACGCCAAAGTCATGTCAAATCAAAGTTAATCTGAACGATCGGAACTTCCTTCCCTTCCTTTTAGACTTCATTATGTGCATAAGAATAGAAACAGAATTTTACCTGCGCCTCAGGCTGAGGCGCAGGTAAAATTTTATATGCAACCATCTATACTCTGTTTCATACTTAGCGTGCAACGCTGTGAAAGCTACTGGCGCGAGCGCGTGGCTTCATCTATGGTTTTGTTTGAGCGAGAACGCGTGCAAATGATCAACGAGATCAAGCCCCACGCTCGCGCCAGTAGCTCTGACAGCGTTGCACGCTAAGTATGAAACAGAGTATAGGCGTCCCAGAAGAGTGACATCGGTCAATTTCAAACTGAGGGAGAGTACTCCCGTATGTGCAGGGACACAACCCGCAGCGCCATCGTAGATATCCAAATTAATATCCGCCATGTTTGTTTTTAGTATTCTCGCTGAAATTCATGAGGGTGTGTATACAATTTTTCTAAGCCATTTCGTCAGGACTTGCTCTCCTTGCGCTGCTAGTGAGCTGTCATACCGGGCAAACTACTGGTTGCGCAATACTACGTGTTCTGACACCGTCTGAGGAATCGCAGGATGTTTTGTATTGTCACAAGTACAACGCCCTTGTCGCAGTTAATTTGCTTGGCGCTCATTTGTGGAGCCTCCAAAGCTCGGAAGTAGAGCCAGTAGAGCTACGAAGCTCACATGACTCAATATTCCGCATTCGTGCTTTTTCGGGGAACTAAAATAATCCCTTGGCAATAACGGTTTGAATGCGTACCGTGCGTACTCTATGGCGAAAAATGTGAGACACGGTACGTCCGTCCGCTTCACTACTAGTCAGCTCCTCCGAAACTTTAATTTTCTGAAATGAAAACCGGAAGAGCATGACTGTTTTAATTACTCTTTATTTATCGACCTTTTTTGTGAAAGAAAACAAACAATAAAGCAATGACGCAACCTACACCATCAAAGCGTCCGAGGCGTAAGCAAGCCGTCCCAGTCAAGTACCAGCTAAGTGACGACTCTAGTGACGATTTCCCCAACCTGAACCTGAGCATTCCCACACCTCCCTGTCGAAAGCAATCCCCGAAAGACTACCAGCAGCTAGAGAAAGGAACAACTAAAATTGAGACACAGGATGCCAGAAGGCTCTTGCTCAAGTTCAAGATCAAGAACAGCAGCAGTTCTGAGGCCTATGTGGAGCGTGCAGAGCCAGAGGAACCCCATCCCCGTGAGGGAGGAACAAATGACGGGGGCAGGAGAAAGAGGAAGTGCACTCTCGTCAAGCAAATGGCTGCAGCTGCCGCCGCTCCTGAAAGGACCTCGAAGGTGAAGCAGACTTCCACGCACATCCCCAGGAGCTACAAGAGGTACCAAACCTTCCCCAAATGCTTCAAGACACAAGTGGTAAAGCACGCCCTAGCCAACTCCGCAGACGAGGCAGCGAGGGAGTTCAAGGTCTCGGTTCACAAGGTCAGGCACTGGATGAGGAACGGTCCTACACGGCAAGGCCGTGGGGATCCTCGGGACTCTCCGCCTCCCCGGAGCCCGTTCCCAGCCTCTTTTAAACTGTTTGCAATTGGGCTTGCCGAGGAAAAGAGCACGAAGGAAGCGGCTCAGCTGCTGTCCCTGGACGAGGCTGTCGTGGAACGGTGGCGGGACTTCAAGGAGGGTGTGGACAAGAAGGCAACCAGTGACAACGTCCCGCAGTGGGAGACAGACGTGTTTGTGGGAGTGCGCAGGGACATGCTGGCGGGGCACGAGATCAGGGTCTCTGACCTCCTGGGCAGGGCGGAGTCTCTCAAAGTGGACCAGACGGACATCGACCTGCAGTGGGCAAGCCGCTGGTGCGAGCGATTCAAGCTGATCTGCAAAGATCATCTCTCCCATCCTAGCAGGGTAGGGTTGTGGCTCGAGACAGTCGGTCACCTTGTTTCTGGGCGAATGTGTGTGCAGTTTAGAGGTTCCGTTTCCCACCTTAGTTAGGGCACTCGGGAACAAATATCTGCGACTTTTCAGAGGAAGGAAACAATGAGCATTGGATTGTGATAACTCGGAGAGTTGTTCCCGGTTCTAGTGAGTTCTCGGAGGCCTTGATTATTTACACCGGTTACGGCTATGAAATTCGGAACTTTCACATTAATGAAAAATTTAAACCAAACTGTGGTACAAATTGAACTTTTTTTTTTAAATTTCATCTAATCAGGAATACTCTAGCAGGACTCCAACCTGGTCTGTTTGTTCATAACTAACACCCTGAATGGATAGTGTGCAGTTTGAATATCTGCACCCAACCTGCATCTGCAGGTTTTGTATCTATGCAAACTGCATCTGCCACATTTATCTATAGCTACAATTACATCCTACCTGCAGTCCGTAATTCATTTTTGCATTTTAGGCTCTAACAGTGCTTTATGTGAAGTGCTTCTGCAAAGGTAACCTTACGAAGGTTTTCTAGCATTGTGTGCTTTTACTTGTACGAAGCATTGAGGCTGAGCTCAGAGACAGGATGGGCTATTGTAAGAGTTGTGTGAGCCAAACCATTATCTATATGGAAAGGTGGACAAAGGTGTATAAGAGGCTTTGTCCCATAGGGACAGCAGGAAGTCCACGCTCCATGACCAGAAGATAAGTCTCTTGTGCCGGAGGGACCAACGCATACAGCTTTGTGGACTCTCAGCTTATTCGGGAAATATAATTAAACCAAAAATACTTTCATCTTTGGGGCAGGGAGGCCATCGTCTTCTGTTTAACGAGTTGAAGGTCGTAGGTGTCACGGCATCAGGCAGTCGTGGTCTGAGTAACTGCAGTCTTGCACATGTAAAGCATATGCCACAGCACCCTCATCTAATGTGCAAACCAGCAAGATCACATCCAAACTGCAAGCATATACCTATGAATATCCTGAAATACTATGCGAGTATGCAGGGCACTATTCATGACATATTCCTTGAATGCCAAAACATTGCAGACAAGGGGTGGACATAGCATGGCAGATGCAACATCCTTTTTACTCCTTGCCTCTCTTTCAAGGAGGAACTTGCTTGAGTTGAAGCTGTGGTTTCATCAGGAACATCCTAGCAATCAAATGTTCAATTTGCTTGTTAGCATTACAGTACTGTATCCTACCTTTGTGGCATTTGTGCACTTCTGTTTTGTGTTGTTCTTCTAAGGCTGGTTGACAAACTCTCCATAATAATACTGTATTTTCTCTCTGCTTTCTTGCACTATATATTTATTATAGTGCCTACCACCAGCCCTACAAATGGACAACTCGTGACAGAGTAGCAGTGGCATAGTAACGGGGGGGTCACCCTGGGCCTTGGGTACCAGGCATCCCAGTCACGAAGGGGGGGAGTGCCACCTCTGGCTGGCGGCACAGCGCCCCCCCCCCCCCCCCTCCCCGCGCTCCCCTCCTCCAAACACACTTTACTGGTTGCGATCTCGGGGAGTGAATGAGAAAGAGGGGGGCTACGAAAGACCTAAGTGCCTGGGTGCCGGATGGCCTAGCTACGCCACTGCGCACTAGTATTTTGTGTAATGGCAAGCAGATCTTGGTGCGTTGTGGGATGTGCTACCACATCCTGGGCTTCGAGGGTCTTGTATAAAAGTATTACCATATGAAAGTATTACTTTTCATATGTGACGTTTGGACAAATCTTCCAGGGTCCGAGGCAGTAACAATATTATTAACAATGTGGTTAACCAAGAAAGGACGGGCAGCTTTGTTTTGCCTGAGTAAAGTGATAATCATGGCTGTCATGGATGTGAACATGAGCCGCAGCATTGAGGTAAGGTGCCAGCCACTCAAATAATGCCCTTTCACTTTTCTATTTTTATCTGTAAAAGCAATGATTGGCAGCAAAATGGATGCAGTGCAAGATAGCTAGCATGAACAAGTTGATTATTTTGTTTTAGTTCTACTCATCTAGGCCAGCATCCATGACCAAAATTTTCCATCTATATTGTGAATGCACATGTAGATTTCCCACTATGTGCAGATAGTGTTAATGGCTCTCTAGGCAAGAAATCGGAAATCACTTCTTCGGGCTGATTGCATGGCACTTAGTAGCTTCAAGAGAATGTGTAGTCGTTCTGAAGTAATAGTTTGGAACTTCCAGAAGATTGCTAAAAGGAACTGTCAGTAGAGGTGCACTGGCTAGAAGAGACATCTTGGTCAGATTTTTTTTTTATCTTTTAATATCTACCTTGGTTCGACATTCCTTCCTGGGGATACTGTGTATGTTTAAACCAGAGTTCTAATGGTGCATTTGAAGTTGCAAGTTAAATGGCCTGCTATACCTACATGCATGCTACGGCTGTGGATGGCTAAAAGTTCACAAGGAAACGGCATCTGCAGATGAGATCCTTTAAACTCGTGTTGTGGACTATGGGCCTGAGCTTGCTCGGTCCTGCTTTTGTTAATTTCTTTGTGAAAGGGATATTTTTTTTCGAAATATTGGACAGTTGATAATTTTATGCAAACAGCCGTTCAGAACGTGTAAATTTGTTTGAAGAAAGAACTAATACCATTCATATTTTACCAGAAATGAACTTTTAAGAACCCTAGTTCTAGGTTTCTGCAAGCATTGTTTTAAAGAATACACATGTATGGATATCATTTTGAGTCCTGGCTAATTTTATTTATGTTCTCTAAAAATGAACTGCTTCAGTGACTACTTGGCAAATCCAAATACCGGGCGACATGACCACTACCTGAGGATTCCTTGCTGTGGTAAAGGCACTAAAGAACTAATAATTTGGCATGTTATTTAACAAACCCTAAGCCATCTAAATTATTGCCCAGTTCTTCATTAGGCATGCCAGGTGCCACTTGGTTTGGCATGTGGACCCTTGAAATTCCTTCCTTTGTTTGCACATGATTAGAGCGATTGATATGCCAGGCACACATGTCCATAATTTACTGTGGTACTTGAGGTGGCTTGCAGTCATTTGTTTTATGAGCAAGTTTGCTTAGTTCATGATGCAGTGTAGAGGTTTTTTGCGCGACACAGGGGACAATTACAAGCGAGTAGACACGGACAAGCGCTGTGCTGTGATGCTACCTTGGGTGGGTGTGCATTTCTATTTTGCAGGAGTTAAGCGAAGTCACACTCCTACAGCTTCCAATGGACATGATGGGCATGACACCCACTCTACAGGCATGTTGTATTCTGCACTCCTAAGTACAAGTTCTTTTTTTTTTGTTCATACTAGTTATGGCTTACTGCTATCACTATGAGATATTCACATGTCATTATAGCTGTGTTTTTGCAGGGGGTGTGCAGAAGCAAATTTTCTTGTTGCACAATTCATGCCATCCAACTTTATAAGTAGAAGCTCAGTGTCAGCATTCCCTCAGTGGTAATGGACACACTGCTATGATAGACTTTTAAAGCCACCTGTTCCTGAATAAAGATAATAATAATATTATAATTTGTACATAAAAAGGACATCTTGGGCAGCATGCAAGGCTGTACAGAAAGGTGAAAACCCATACGTAAGGGTGGGTTTTCACCTTTTGAAATTCAAGATACTGCAGTGTGGGGAAACTTGTAAGCAACACAATGGGGGTAGCTCTGACACAGCATGTCAGGACCTAAGAACACAAAGCCAGTCCTTTTGATGCTTTGATAGGGCCAGACCAGGTATACTAAAATTCTTAGTTTTTGTTTACAAACAGGGAGATGTTTGAAGTACTCTGAAAAATATTGTCGATTTCAAGCATATGCACTGTCTTAATTATCGAAACGGTGAAACTGTGCTATCTAAGTTATGACTATTTCGGAGTGCTTTGACTTCAAGAGAAAGTCGCATGTGCTTGGCCCTCAAGTATTTAATTTCTATGCATACAAACATTGGCCCGATACCAGGATGATTGGCACATGTCATTAGAGATGTCTAAAGTCGTTCAGTTGTTTCAACCATCTGCTGTTCACACCTCCGATTGTACAAATGCATGGTCAGCAATGTTAGGCATGCCTTGCTTGTAATGTGACAAGTCAAATCTTGTATGTGATAGAAGGCAACAGTTACTGCAAAGTGCATTTCTTTGCGGAGGCAGTTGTATGGAAAGGTTTCTTTATCAAATTTCTCATTACATCCTACTTTGAGAAAGGGGTAATCTCAAACTTTTGTATTTGGAAAACGCGCTCCTCTTTTGATTTACAGCTAAGGGACCCCTCCCAGCCTCTGCATTAAAGCACTAAAGCAGTGCAGAAGCCTACAGACTTTGTAAACTATAATGCATATACGAAAGGATGGGTGTCTGGCACATTGTCACACATCACCAGATGGTTCAGGCCTTTTAGGATATTGCTTAACTGGAAGAGCACTTCTATTAGGGGCAGGGACGGTTGAGGAAATTTGGGAACTTGGGGAACCCATCAAGTACTCTGGGGAATTCCCGAGGGTACTCCGAGGACTCTTCAGGGTTTTGTTAACTCACTTTGAGAAACCGTAAGGTAGGACACAGGGGAAATTATACAGTCTGAAGACATGAGCTCTCCAGTGAGTAGTGTTTGTAAGTAGAGATTCTATTGTGAATCTTTTCAAAAGCTATGCATGCCCATACTGTGTTTTATTTTTTCTTATCTCAGGTTATAACCAAGCCCACTGCTTCAGGTTTTAAACTCTCCCGAAAGAAGCTAAGAGGTGTGAGTGCAACAGAAATGGACCTTGAGATCTGGAGATGGTACAAGAAAATGGAACGGAAAGGTAATATTTGAAAAGATGCACGTTTAAATAAAATTAAGACAGCAGAAAAAGATGCAGCTCTGTATATGGGTGCGACAACCAATTTTATTAATGTTAATGTTGAGCCTCATTACTAAGTATCACTCATGATACTAACAAGGAAGACAAAGTAAAGATATCCAAAAGCAAGGTCTACCGATTGTTGTTACAAGCTTTTAGGATGGAGACCACACTGGAAATAAGGTTACCATCTGCTTAGAGCTGTACCGATGAAACAAAAGAAGCATGAATTACCCCTTTGCCTTGCTTGGTTCCAGCAGGAGTGTGAGTTATACATGAACAGCCTGTGCACGATAAAAGCAGGAGCGTTCACACTGAGGGCTGCATAAGGAAAGGTGATTGAGCGTACTTCTTGTCATATCGCTTACAAGATGAAAATGTTTTTTTATCCTTGGTGCCTTCAAAGGTCATTATGATCCCTTCTGTCGTATTTATTGCTCGTATATGGTACTCCTTCTCCAGTTGACAGCTATTGTGCTGTCTGATTACGACACATTTTTAATGCGAAAGCATTAACTGCCCAATGGAACGAAGCCGGTGTTGCCTGTAACCGTCTGTGGCAGAAAAACGGCACCCAGAAGTGGAATTCCCATTGGCTGCGACGCGTCATATCAGGTGCTTCGTCATGGAAGCAGGCCGGGCACTCAAGGTCAAAGCGGATGCGCCTCAGTAATAAAGGAACGCATATGCATCGTCACGGAAGCCGTGGAGTCGGAGGGGGCGCCGCGCCTGTGCAAGTGGGGGAGCGTGATGTCACCGCCGGCATGCCGTGTGAAAAAAAAAAAAGATGTGGCTCATTGCTGGTAGGAATGCGCTGCATGTAGGAGTGCTTTTGCATTCCTACACGTAAGCAGTCTGAAGTGTCTGCCAATTTTTTTTTTCTTATCCTCTTAGGCAAAAAGCTGACCAAGGCATTAGTGTGTGCTCGGGCTCAACACATTTTTGTCAAGCATGGCCACCCAGAGTCCCGAGCAGGAGAAGGGTGGTACAGGGCATGGAAGACCCGCTGTGCGCTGCAGCAGTTCCAGGTTGCCATGGCAGACCCTGACACTGAACCAGAGGAAGAGTCCTTCAGTGCTGATTGCCAGGTGAGGGAAACGTGTGGGGCTCTCTGATTACTCCAGCAGTGGTACCCTATATTGCCGGTTTCCTAGTAGTATGACACTGTCACAGAGAGGTTCATTTGAACCAGATTCCAAAACATCTGAATTTGGTGTGTGCAATATGTAACATATTTGAATATGGGTGTTTTGTTTTGTAATAAAGTGTAAATATGGAGGTGTGTCTCAAGCAACATTGCTTGCTTGTTTGGGGAAAGCGCTGCTCCTGTGCTTTTAGTATGTTGAGTTCTTATGGTACATCAAACAAAACCTCGTATATGAAAGGAAAACACACAATACTTTATATAAACAAATGCTTGTACCCTGAGATAGTGAATGTCACCAATAATTAGAGGTGCCCAGAGTCTCCAAAGAAAATGGAAAAAAAAAATGCACTCGTTATCTCCTTCGATTACAATCAGTTGAAAATAAATGGTTGGCTATAATATTACCTTGCAGTGCTGATTTAGTGGTTGAAACTTGGAAATAATTCTCTTAGCACATCTAAACAACTGTGATGATCCACTACATCTTTCCCATATCGGTGTTTACTATTGGGAGGTCTATAAATCAGAGATGCTCGTGAGAAGCTGGTAAATCTGCATTTCCTAATTGCTGGAATGCCTTTTAAGGACAACTCAGCCACTGCTAAATACAACCGTAAGATTTCATATAAATTCAGACAATGAGATGGACTCATATTTCTATCTCTTAAAATTCTTTTATGCTGAGTTGCATATGCAATTATGTAAAACTGTGTTTCAAATTTTAGAGTATAGATAAAGGAGAGCAAGTCTTTGATGTCCATGTTGACAAGTATGTTGATTGGATCAGCTAGTGAAGCATCAGTGCAATATTTACATTTATATCTGTGTTATTTATACTTACCTTAAACCTTTGGGGTAAAGTTGGTTTGAAATTCTTCTAACTTTTGTTTGAGGTTTGTCGAACTTTTGAACTTCGCAAGTGTGAAAGTCTGAAAATTGTAAAATTTCGTAGTGTGACGAGGCCGAAAGTTGAAGAATTGCCAAACCTTTAGAACATCTTGGTACAATCTTCGACCCCCAGGTTCAAAAAAGTTTTTTGCACCTCTAGTAGTGACGAGATGGCAAGTTACCGAAGGGGTACATTTTTTCAGCAGCAGCTGCCTCGTGAAAAGACATCATCAGACAGTCAAAACAAGCCCACGGCACAGCAAAGAGAAGACAATGAAATAATCACGCCAGATCTGAGGCCCGTGCCAGTTGAAGGGGATGCTACAGATCCAGATCTGCAGCACCCTTGTGCAACGCAAGAGATGCCAGCTATGTGTTCGGTTGTCACCACCAGCAACGACAACAACACCAGCAGCGGTCCTTCCTCCTACAGCACATGTTACAGTCAGCCAGCCTTTGTTGAGCCCCTGGTCCTCCTCTCTGACTGTGACACGGGCTCCAGCACCCAGGAGTTCAAGCTAGGGCACCTGGGCTGCCAACAGCAGCATCTCTCCTTTGCCCCATACTGGATAGACCAGAGCCATGGCAACAGCGAGTGTGCTCCCAAGGCAGAGCCGGGCCACGCCATCACACCCTTCCACGAGACGTTCCTTGGCTACAATGGTGCCATGGGGTCGGCGGCAGATGCAAGCACCTCTTCGCTGGCTTACTCCGAGTATGGCATGCCCATAGGCACGTCAACATGTCCTTCCAGCCAGAAGAAAAAAAACGAGCGGTACCTGCCTGAGTTCAAGCTGCAGGTGGTGAAGTATGCTCTGCAGACGACCTTCAAGAAGACGGCGGAGCATTTCGGGGTCCACCACTCCACCGTGGCGGAGTGGTGCCGAGACAAGGAGAAGCTGGAGCGCAGGTTCCCCCAGGAAAAGGGCAGCCTCGTGAGACCGGGGGAGGCGACAGGGGCCTCCCCCCCGGAGCAGGCCTTTCTCAGCTGGCTCTACGACTGCAACAGCTCGTGCCGAAAGATAGATGCAGCGCAGGTGAAGGAGAAGGTGAAGGAGATTCTTGCATACTTTGGGGAAAATAAGGTGGAGACCATGTGCCGCTGGCTCTACGTCTGGCACAAGAAGCGACTGGAGATGGAGCAGATGATTGAGGATCGGCCTGAGCTGCAGTCGAGTTCCGGGAAAGAGTTCCGCATCGCATTTCCACCTGCCGTTAAGCTGGAGATTGTGAAAGTGGCCGAGCGACAGAAGTTGAGCGACACTGCCAAGTGCTTTCAGATTGACCGGAATAGTTTGTCAGACTGGAGCAAGGCTCAGGCAAAGCTCAAGCTGATGATCAAAGAGGGTAAGGTGCGCAGGAAGGAAGTTTCAAAGAGTAAGAAAGCTCTCGAAGCAGAAATGGAAGTCTTCCAGTGGTACCAGCAGTGCAGAGCCAACGGCTACAAGCCGGGCCCCAAGGAAGTTCGCACTAGAGCCGCGGAAGCATATCGCAAGCACGGCGACACCACCATGAAGTGCAGCATTGGCTGGTACTCGCGCTGGTCTCGCCGATTTGGGATCCAACTTCGTTACGAAAAGGACGACGAGATACTGGAGTGGGTGCTCACGCAGCTGGAGCAGAACCGGAGCATCACGCACCATGACATCCAGGTGAGGGCAGTGGCGGCCCTCTCCCAGACAAGGACGGGCTTCAAGTGCTCCGCAGGCTGGCCCATCCGGTTTTGCAAGCGGCACCAGGCCCTGCTGCAGAAGCAGCCCACCCTGGAGGTGCCCCTGCCGGCAGCCCTCGAGGACAGGGTGTCCCTTTTCCGCCAGCAGGTCCAGAGGCTCCAGGAGCAGCACAGCCTGACCAATGCTGCCATTGGTGCCATGGACGAGGTGCCCCTCTACTTCTCGGTCGGCACGTCCGGAGGCATTGGCGGCGGTACCCTGCTGGTGCGCCGTTGCAGCCTGGAAGCATCCCAGGCGGTGGTGCTCCTGTCTTGCCTCTCGGACGGGGCCATCCTTCCTCCCCTGGTCATCCTCAAGGCATCCAGCCACGCCCTCGAGGCGAACCACTCTTTTGTCCTGCAACAGGAGGACATGCACGTGGACCGTGCCACAGTGGAACACTGGGTCGAGGTCGTCTGGAGGCGCTTCGTTCCCTCGCCGAGCCTCCTGTTTCTGGACTGCTTTGAGCCGCACACCGTGGTTGCCTCCTCCGTGGTCGACGTGAAGGTGGCTGTCACTCCGAGCGGCTGCTCTTCCCAGACCCACCCTGTGGTGGTGTGGCTGCGCAGGAAGTTTCAGGCACTGGTGCACCGGCTGTGGCTGGAGGGCAGTGCCGGGAAGAATGTCCCCACGACCAGGGAGATTGTGGACTGCGTCACTCGCACCTGGAAGCACTTGCAGGCCGAGGGGCAGGACGCCGTGCGCAAGAGCTTCATGGTCACAGGGGCGGTGCTGGCGCCCGATCACAGCGACGACCACCTTCTGGGGAGGGCAGAGCTTCTGCCCGACGTGGAAGAGGAAGACATATACTTCTGAACAAAGTTTGCACGGTGACTGAGGAAGTGCAGTGTTGAGTACAAAATTAGTTTTAGTCTCGCTACGGCGAAGTTCTTGTCATTTGTTTTTTGGGAGGAGGTATGCCTTTCCTGGCCTAGCTAAGTGAATGGTCTTTGAAAGAGTCTGTACATATTGTGTCTGAATTTTTTATTTTGAGCAATAAGGGGAGCATCATTCAGTTATAGTGACTGGGGGATGCATACTGCATTAAAACCTCTACACAAACAGGAGGTTGCTCGTCAATACCTAAAGGTTGCACACTCCTTGCATATGTTTTAAAATACATCCAGTCATGACCCTGACTACCTGGAGATATGTGTTCCTGAAGAGGATGTATGCCCATCAACTTGATGTGATGTATTGTTATAAAATATCTTTGGGAGTTAGCCCACCTTCAGTGCACAGCGCCGAGAAGCATGTTAAGTGAAACCTGCATGTAACAAACACCACCGTTTTGTCACCTTATTTGTCATGAGTGAACCGATATCTACATGCAGTATGCCTGTCGTAGAAGTTTATGGTTTTTAGAACCATTTTGTATTGGAAGTTTATTAGAAGTGGGACTCTATACTTCCAACCTGGGGGACTCAAGATGCTATTCTCTTTCTTGCTCGCATTCTTTACATGCTTGAGATATTTCTTTTCCTTAAGCTCCTGGTTTTGCTTATCGCCCTGAAAACATAGATTTCTTGACGTTTGCATTAGAGCATTTGTTATTTTTCAACTTCTATTTAAGAGTGATTGCTCTGTGAGTGATTTGCCTGTTGCTGATGCTAATTGGCAATGGTTGCTGATGTTATAATTGGCAATTATTGCTGAAAATATTTACTGAATGTTATAGGAAACTGATTAACAAGGTTGAGCATAATAGTTTTGCTACTCATCACACAAGGATGCATGTTTAAACACCTTGTTAGAGTTACAGCAGCTCTAAGTCGTTACTTACCAGTTTCCAAGTACCGAATGTCAGGAACCGGTGTCTTGGTTTTAACTGACGTCCAGCTGTCATCATTGGTGGACGTTTATTGGCATTTATCGGGTTTTGCCAACACTTCTGTACCCTAAGTGAGGTTACACTGTATTAAGAAGATTTCACAAAATATTTTATTTTTCATCTTCACAGTTTCATTGCACTTTATGTTTTTCACAGATATTAATTATGTTTTTGCTGTTATGCTATGTTTGCTTATTAGATCGTCAGTTTCATGACATCAGTGCCCATCATCTCAGCATGATGGCATTAGGACTTTGGAGTTATATAACTCAGATATGCACATGAGAAGCATTGTTTTGAACCTAATCAAAATGGACTCGTGAATATTTCTTACAGAAACCTATGGAAATAACATAAATTTTGTTTATAAGATTAAACAATGCATGCAAGGTGAATATCCTGGTTAATCTGATGTGGAGTTTCACCGGATCATATAATTGCCTCTTTCCATAATCAAAAGTTCGCTCTTGAAAAAGGTTGCAATGCATTGATTTTTGTATTTAGTCTTGCAGAGCAGAGGCAAAATGCTGTTGTTAACCAGTATCGAGCATGCTTGCTTTGCACATAAATGGAGCAAAACTGTTTGTGTTGCAAATGTTTCTGTCATTGTCTTGTACTGGAGTTAGGCCTAAAAGAGCTTTAGTCACATACCTGAATCGTGGAAAATATAAAATAATTTACAATTTCACATTTAGTGACCGCTGTCACCTGGACCTCCCAGTGAATGTTGCTCATGGTCGTAACTATGGTCTTGTGCACAAAGTTGTGAATTCACACAGCTCGAAAATGATTAGCTACTAAACTGTGGGTTGCCAATATAGTAGGGGTGTATTTATTGATAAAGAGTTGACCACTGTGTATCTATCTGTTTTTGCTGCGAAAAATATTCTACCTATATTCTCATTGACGTGCATTGATTTATGCTAGTTTTATTTATCCATCAAATCAGAAATTTATAATGTATACCTGATATCTTACTCAAGGAAACTTGTGTAACCTCTATGATCAAAGGTTATTTTGCATTTCTAATGTAAGCAGTAACTTGGAAGATTTATATTATGCTACAGGAAATTATTTGCCTGCTGCAAGCCATTGTGCGAAGACCAAACTTGCAAAGTTGTTTGCATTGTTGTAGATAGCTGCTTATGGGTACAATAATCAAAACTGCGAATAAAGGCAGTGCACAGCTGTTCACATCTTTATTTCTGCTCATGTCATAAATGTATTTACTTGCATTGCTTATAAAACGTTTGGCAACACTGGACATGCCTGCACAAATTAAGTTAATAAAGAATGGGCCAAGCTTTGCTAAACTTTTTTTTTACATGAGTACAGACACAGAGAGTGCATGTCGCTGAAAATAGTGAAACAAAATGGGCACATATACTATGCAGTGGCTGTCAAAGTACGTACATACACTCACATTGAAGGAATAGAGTTCACAGCTTGCTGTACGAGATGAGGGCTGACGTAGAAGACACATGGAAGTCAGTTTTAAAGAGGTTTCTTCTTGTTTTTTCTTTCGAGCTCTTCAGCACTGGCTGAATCATAGGGCCCGCAGATGTATCTGCCCTTGCAATCTTGTTCCTGGGACACCCAGTAGTCGTACACATTGGCCTTGAAACTATCCGATGACATGGCATTCCCATTGGCAATATCCTCTTCCTGTGGGTAGGTGAAAATAAATATTTTCTTCAACATGTCCCTTTGCCTGCTAGCCAAAACATCTCTTGAAAAGAATGTACAGTCTTCTGTTCCAAATTCTAGGGGACTTCTTTACAAGGCCCATGCGTTTACACCACTGTGCTGTGAATTTGCTGGCATGTCTGTTGCATTCAGTTAATAAATAGCCCTATGGCTGCTCACCGTAAAATACCGAGCATGCGCCAAGTCAACGCCCCCTGCCCATTCTGCTACTTTTGAAATGTTTGCAAACTATAAGCAAAGTACATACAGGAGTACCCACCACTCAGGTTTCTGAACCACCTAGCTAACTAGGGGCTCCTCATCGTCTGCTGCTTCACCAAATACCCCGGTGCAACGCGGTAAAGACGACCCCATCATGTGCCCCTTCTGTATTCTTGCCCTGGGACCTAACAAGTGCCCATTCTCCAGAGTTCCAAGGTTTTAAGCTGATCTCTCAATTTTGGCCGGGCGCTTGCTCGAGACAAATATACTTGTCATACTCTTTGATATAAATCGCTAATGTTCAGCTGGAGAAAGAAGTTGGAGAATTGTAGATTAACAAGTTGTATGTTAGCGGCGAAGACGTAAAGACAGCCTGGGGTCCATGTCACATGAGCCAATGACTTCTTCGCGGTGGCAGCCTGCAACAACTCATTACAAAAAAAAAATGTTGAAGGAGGACATTATCGAAAAAGGTCAACTTTTGAACCTTTGGCTCAATATGAATTAAATTTACAGTATATACTGGCAGTTTCGAGGCAAAATGCAGTGCAAAGTTTCATATGTGTACATAAAATGTAAAAAAAAAAAAATTGAAGTAACTTTTATGAGGAATTAACACACTGACATTGTTTAGGAAAACTATCGTTAAAAATCTAATGTAATACCCAACATTTTTCTTCGGTAGATATGCAGCAGAACGTCTGGCCAAAATTTTTCCTTGAAGTAATTTATTTTATGCTAACATATTGCACTGAAAAACCAAACAAAAAATATTTTGCCTTTTATGTTGTCCACAAAATCTTAACAACGTTTTAAAAAGACATCTACAAAGTAAGAAAACAATGCCATAGTTGCATTGCCCATTAAATTCCAGTTAGAAAATACAATGAGTGAACCCTTACTTTTGTCCCATCACGATAGTTTTCTGAAGTGAAATTCATGTTAAAAAGAGGAACGTAGAAGAACGCGTTCCAAATATTTGAACCTCTACCTTTTCTTTAGCATCGGTGGGCTGAAAGTACTTTATAAAAAAACTAACTATGCAGTGTAAATAAATGAAACGTTCTGGTAATACTCTCTAGATGTTAGTGGATGTAAATATATATGGCATTTTTAAAAATAAACTTGTCTTGCAGAATTTTTTCTTTAACCACTTGGCCTTTTGTAGACGTCGCTTCGCAACGGCCGACCATTCGCTAAAGTCTGTTTTGATGAAAAGTCGTCGTTCGCTAAAACGCCGACCAACCGAGTGCCGCCAGGTTCAACTACAACAGGAACAAAAACGGACGCGACTGTAGCGCTCTTGTATAAAATTATTTCTCAGAGTTTTCATTAAATCGTTTGTCTACAAAACCGTTAATTCCGTTCTAACATGGCGACGTACGGAAGACCAAAATGAATCTCGCACCGAGCACGGCTGCAACGGACGGCAACAACGAAAAATCACGGATGCCACTACCACCACGCCCTTGGCATCTGCCCTCGAGATGATCGCACGATTCCTCGCACGGCAAGTCGAACCTCCCAACGTTACCCCGATGCACATAAGCATGACAAGAAAGCGAGGAGGACGAGATGAGAGCGCGCTGGCACGTCAGAACGCAGAGCCCTGATTGGAGTGATTAGTGGGTAGACCTAAATCTAGCTGCCTCAGTCTCCATCGCACTCGTCGAAAGCGTTCAAATGCGAAAGCCGAACGCTGAACGCCAGCGTTTCGCATTCTAGCGCGTTCGGCGGCACATAAGATTATGGTCCAGATTATGGCTAGACGACTTCATAACCGAAAGTCACGACAAGATTAACAACATTTGCTAGAATGCAAAGATTGTTTTAGCTCAGGAGTGTAAGTGGCGAAGACGCGTTCCCCGCCTCGACCGGATAATGCGATCAGAGCCCGACCAGCTCGACTTCGACAGGTGTTGCTTCGACCCCCGATGCTGGCATTCCAGCGTGGGAAGTGGAAAGGAAAAATACCCCGAGGGACACGAACAACAGGAAGCGAACGAGACGAAAAGAGACAGATTCAACTATAAGAGGAACGGAAACAGACGAGAATATAGCCCTCTTGTATCAAATGATTTCTCAACGTTTCCATTAAATCGTTTTACAGTCTACAAAACCGTTCATTCAATTCTAGAGCAGTACTTACGTTCAGCATTTGGTTGAAGCATTCGTCTGCCCTTGTGATGTCCATGTTGTGCGTTTTGAGGTATTTCTTATAGTCCTTTGCGCACACAAGCCCATCCTCTGCAAAAGGATAGGATATAGGGGGTGTATTTTCCGGTGTTTATTAATAATAAAAAAATATCAACAAATGTTTTTTTCTTTTCTTTACGACCGGTGTATTTTGGTTGGACGACTCGTGGCAAGGTTAAAAAAATGTGATTATCAGTGATAACAATAGCTGCCACAGTGAGAATATTGAAGTTGATTATTTTGAAGAGACGCTTTCTCCAGGGTCAGTGGCCCTGGACCGCACTGATGCTGGTAGTGTCTTCCAAGAACCACAGCGACACCACTGGAAGGATGCAGGATCCACGAGATAATGTTTCACACACAAAAAAAAAAAGTCTTTAGGGCGGAAGCATTTGACGGCATGTGTTTTTCGGTTTTATTCAGGGCGAATATATATATATATATTCGCTATATATACAGGGTGTCACAAAAGAACATTTACATGGTCTTTTTTACCGCAAAAATAAAATAGGTATCGCCAAACGCTCATTCTCCGCCCAAAGGTAGAGCTAGAGGTCACAACCAGATGCCAAAGTTTCAGCCCGATCCGATAACTTAATCAAAAGTTATAAGTGATTTTCTGAAAATTTCAATGGGAAAATGGAGCCCATTTTTACCCGTTTTCGGTTTCTGGTGCCATAGAGCCCCATGTGTTTGAAAACTCCGTCGGCCGCCATTTTCCCATTGAAATTTTCAGAAAAACACATGTAACTTTTGATTAAGTTATCGGATCGGGCTGAAACTTTGGCATCTGGTTGTGACCTCTAGCGCTACCTTTGGGCGGAGAATGACCGTCCGTCGATGCCTAGTTTATTTTTGCGGTAAAAAAGACCGTGTAAATTTTCTTTTGTGACACCCTGTATATATAAGCTTTACAGATTTGTTTAAAAAAAGCCGTGAAAGTTGAACTTTACACTTATGCGGTTTGTGGAGGTGAGTTATACGTCCAGAGGGACATTATGTGGGTGGATAATGTTTCCGATAAGTCGGATAATTAATTAAAATTTGTTAATTAACTTTTTAATTAGTGAAAATAGACATGATTTTAATTAGAAACTTACTGAGCGTCATCAAAAAGCATTTTTACTAATAAACTTAATTTAGTTGTTTTTATGTCATAAAACCCCAACTTCTACTACTACATCAAGTTAATAAACGAACTTTAATTAATTAGCCGACTTATTGCAAAGATTAGCCACCCACATAATCAGGGGTGTCTCCAGGAATGGGAAGGGGGGGGGGGGGGGCATTGAGAATAGAGAGAGGAGTCGTTGCGAATTAAGGGGGTACCTTCAAAAAAACGGGGGGGGGGGGGGGGGGGGGGTAGGGAAATCACTGCACAATGTCCCCCTGGCCGTATAACTCATGTGCACAAACCGCTTAAGTGTAGCTTCCGTGGATTTTCTTTAAACAAATCTGTAAAACTAAAAAAAAAAAAAAACTAAAAAAAAAAAAACCGCTGTATATAAGCCTGTAAGCGATGCATTTCTTATTTGAAGGTGTGATATATGTCAGATGCTAGCCTTTCTTTTTCACGAAATCATCAAGTCCCATTATGGATCATAATGGCATTTATTACGACAGAAAAGAGGGTTGAAGGAAAATAAAATAAAATTGTCTTACATTTTATCTTCTTCAGTTTACGAAAATGAACGTCATAGTGCTCCGCCGTGTCATCTCGTGGTTTTACGAGCGAGGCTTAACCGATATCTTCTTTGTTTAATTTTTTTTTTTTTTTTTACTCCGGTGAAATCATTTTATTATATTTTTCCTTTCAAAAGGCACCATCAAATTACACCGCTATCGCAGTCCATCGAGAACTCTATTTTTCCGGTCCCTTCAAAGGGCCAACGTGCAGTCAGGTCCACAATATTCAACTCACTGTTCGAATCCATGATGAGAAATAGAAGGTGGAGATATTTCTGCAGGAAGTCGGGCAACTCCTGAGCATTTTTGGTACTCTTGCCGAGGTTTGTGAAAAACTTGAGCCACTCGTCGAACTCCACGATTCGGTCCTGTTCCGAAGCGAGAATTACACACGCCAGTTTGAGCGGCACTTTGGGACGTCAACTTGTGCGTTTATTCCACTGCCTCGCGCCGGATTGGGGGAAGCTACCGCCGCGAGTGCGCGCGGCCCAGTACGTTCCCTTCGAATGCGGACACATCAACTATCGCTCTTACTGTCCTCAACATTGCACCCATTGTGCGGGCACCGCGGAACAGCTACGAGAACAAACGGCACATTTATTTTTGCCCCTATGACGCATCAGAAATTATACGTAAATGGCTCGCGATTGATTAGTAGCATGCAGTAAATCTTCTGTACAGATAATATATTGCGAATTCCGTCCCCCTGAGAGATTCCCTAAAGAGCAATAACGTAAAGGTGTCTTCCCCGCATACACTTCAACCGTGAGGGGAAAACAGCATACTGGGGGCGCTTGCTCTAGCGCAGGGGTCTCCGAACGTTTTTGGCTAAGGGGCTGGATTGGGGTATCTGCATTTTTGCGTTGCGCGACGGCAACCGTGCGCGGGCCGTCCGGAATGCATCCTGCGGGCCGGGGTTTGGAGACCCCTGATCGAGGGCAGCAGAGATACGCTGGCTGGAGTGGTTAATAAGCGTTTTGCCAGAGTGTCGTTATCACCCGAAAAAATGTAAGTATACCTTATTAAAATCCGCGTGCTCAGTGAGCTCATTCCACCATCTTTCGAGAATGGATTTCCAACGCTCGTAGACTTCCTTCTCTAGCTTGCCGCGGCGTTGCAGCTTGGTGTAGTTCTAAATAAAGTGCGACGTATTAATTGGATGCATCGCTTAAACCACAAGAACACACTTTTGTTAGCGATATATAGTGTTTAAAAAAATGCTAAGAACTTTTCTAACAAAAGAAAAAGAAAATGTGGAGACGAGGTTTTTTGGGACAACGTGCTGGGGACGCCAGCTAGGGTACGATTGTAACGCGGTAATTAGCGAACTAATCAACTAAAATTGACGCATTAGTTATATTAATAATAATTTCAGCAGGCACGTTCCTATTACATATTTTTGTCAATAAAATCACTATGTGTCACTCGAGTAATTACGATTAAATACTTTAAAAGACGATGGTTAATAAATAAGAAAAGACATCGCACGTGTATTGTCGACTGCAAACATTCCAAGCACCAATTTTATACTCAAATATGTCTCTCTAGATTATATGTGAGGAAATAACAGTTACCTCTGCAATAATGTTGAAATCATCCCAGGTAAGAATGCCATCTTTGTTATAGTCTGAAAAGGCAAAAAAGAAGGAATGACGTCCTTTTCGTCATACAGTTAAGCATTTGTTTCGCATAAATAAATGCGCGGAGTGCACACAGATAACAGCGGGATTTATTTAATTATTTCTCTCAAACGTGCGAGAAAAAAAAAATCTTACCCCAAAAATTGTGAAATGTGTATAGGTGTCGGTGCCTGAAGGAGGACATTGCTGTCACTGAACTTGCTGGATAAAATTCTTGATTAAGCTTAAAAAAAAAAAAAAAGAAAGAAACAATCAGTACGTTCAACATCGTGCACTAAGCATCGCGTGCGCATAGCGCTCAAACAAATACACAAAGTTGCACATATAGTTAAAACCGGAGACGATGGAAGTAAGGGAGCAGGTCAACAACACGTCTCAAACGCAGCTAACTTTTATTCACAACCGGACATTTGCACTCATTTCAGCGGTCAACCACTAAAGTTGCCACAGGAGTTTATACTCTGCAAGCTAAGTATTTCTTTTTCGTTTTTCTTTCTAAGAACAACAATTCTATGTCCGTCCCACTGTGTGCCCGTGGCGAACTGAAGGCATAGAACAATAAAAGAACCACGGAAATAGCTTTCCCACAAAGGAAGGGCGACAGTTTAGTCGACGTCTATAATTAGATCAGATTTTGTTCTGTCATGATGTGCTCATAAACGCCGCGTTCTGCAATGCTGGAGAGGCGTTCGAAGGCCGATGCTCGGGAAAAAGCTTTAAATATGCGCCCGCTTGTTCCGTAGTCATTTTAGTTTGCAATTCATTATTTTTTTATTTAGCTCGACTAAATTAAGAAACAACCACGAAGGCATAATTTTGCTGAAATCTCTGGAACGAAATCGACACTGCACCCGGGTGGGGCGGGAGCGTACGCGTGTTCTGTGGTTTCGCGAAAGATGGGTGATCAACGCGCTGTCCGGACTTTGGCCTTGTTCAGACCAAACCCAAAATAGATCAAGACCCTCCTACGAGTGAGTCGATTTCTTTCAGCGCGTCTCGCCATATCTGTTACAAGTAACAAACAGACCGGAACTCTGATCGAACACGCCATTACGTGAATTTATTTACTTATCGAAAATGGGAAAAACTAGTTTAACATCACAATGGTGACGCTAAACTAGCTATATTTCACTAGATATTCATTGTGAGTCTATGCTAAATCCCTGTTCCAAAAAGACGCTCTACCTCATTGGCCCATCCCTTAGCCCCACCCACTTCTGTTCTGTTACGAGCATGCGCCCCTAGGGCTCTCAGAGACTACACGGGAGCTCAAATGAAGCCCATAAGCACAGCTAGGGCCACACGAATCAAAAAGAGATATATAGTTTTTTTTTTATTCCCAGCATATTGGCGTTTTTTTTTTTTGTTTTTGTTTTTTTTTTTCACTTTTCCGGGATTTTCGTAAAAGTTGCCCTAGTCAGTTGACACACAAACACTACACCAGATTCTTATTCTATGTAGAATTCTTATAAATGCCCCGAGGCAAATTATTTCCAAGCTTAAAAAAAAAACAAAAAAAAATTTCTACAGATTGATTTGAGATGTCAGATCAATAACAGGTTCGATTACATCTTATACTTTGCTCTTTTCAATCACAGCCTCCTCTATGCGTCTGTGACCTAATAGTAATAAACCAACACATATTAAACAAAAAGTACAGAATAACTCTTTAGCGTACACAAATTTCCCGCAACCTGCTTGGGCATATCAAGAAAGCGTACGCAAATACAAACTCGATGATTCGCGAGTAATAAGGTGTGTGCCTTACAACAAACACGAGGTGCGAACGCAAACGATTCAAGTCGGAGAGATACTTGCGGAGGTACTCACATTCGTCGCTGAGGGGCCTGGAAGGAAACGAGCTGTGCCCGCGACACTTCCCGCGAACACTGTTCCCCGTGGTGTAAAGCTTGTTCGCTCGTGCTGTTTTCTTTCACACCGCAACCCCGGACTGGGGATGGCTGGACCGTTTATTTCGGGGAGTTTATTTTAGTGCCCTGACTCCGGCAACCCACGCCTTCCGTTTGTTGTTTGTGTGTTTTTGGCTCGGGAAGGGTAACCCTGAGGAGGCGCTGGAGACATTCTCCGAGCGGTATACACCACCATCTGCGATTGCCTTCTCGCCGTTGGCCGGGTCATCGCAGTCACCGAAAGAAACAGTGGAGATTTTGTTGGCCAACCGCTCACAGTACGCAGCATACCGTAAGGCGAGTTTATAATTCGCGCGCTTCTGTGAATGTTTTTTTTCGTTTCGGTTTCGGTTGTCAGTGGACTGCATAGTTGGATTTCGTTGGACCTGATTCAGTTTGAAAATTTTGTTTTAGATTTTTTAGATTTCCATTGTGTTACCTACTGTACTGCTGGTTCACAAAGCGATGGCCACATAAAGCCACGTAACAAGCCGCAAACCCCGCAAACGCACACAGTTGTTTGGCGAACGAATCACATAGATGCACGTAGACGAAATGACACGTCAGGAAGTGTCCGTGTCCGTGCTCTTCACGTCGCGTCAGTAGTAGAGGGCACCGCTGATAGAGGGTCGGATTCGGCGTCACCGACGCGGTCGTCGAACATCGTTGCACGCGCGTCGAGCTTTGGGGCCTGTTTGATGTTCAAGCTGGTCCCTTTACAATTGAAAATAGTTCCCAGTTTCGAACAATCGGGGCGCTTTAGTAGTAAGCGCCTCGCGCATTCATGAACGTGGACTCTGCCGCGCTTAAATCAGTAGACTCAACAGCACCTGTCGCTTTGACCACTTTGACAGATTCGCAGCCGCTGCAGCCGAAGTTCAACGCCGCTGTCTTCGAAGATACATCACCGATGGGCAGCCCCATCAAGCTGCTGTTTTATGCGCTGGGAATATTCGTCTGCTATTTCTACTTTGGCGTGCTTCAAGAAGAAATGTGAGTTTATCAAATTCCGAACCATCGATGATCGAGAGTCGGCATATGTGCGTGAAGACCATTGCATTCGAATCACACCGTGATTCGAATGTTCGAAGTGTGCTTTCAGCGATACAGGAAACAGGCCGTTGTGACTTGTTACACGTGTTTGGGCACTCCTTGATCTGTTTAAAAGTTACCGGCCTTTACCCCAGCTCACCATGACCCAACTTAACATGTGGCATTTTACACGTCTACGCTTTCCGCCGGAAATGTCCACTTCAAAGGCGCTGACCGTTCCAAAGTTGGACTGATCAGCTCACTAAATTTTGAACTTAGTGATGTTCGGACGCGAGAGACATAATGTATGTGTGTACATGTGCACAAAGTAAAAAAAGAAAACGAAAACTTATCTTTTACTTCTTAAAATTAGTTTGCTATTTGATCACGTTGCCAATTAGCTTTTGCGCCCTTCCTCTCACAGATGTGAATATTGCGGCTGGTTGTAGTCGAACCCTCATAAATGATGTGTCGAATTTGTCCGATCCTTGACGAGGATTTCAGAATTGTGCAACTGAAATGTATGAGAATGTATGGCAGATATTGACATGTGGTCTCATACAAATACGGGGAAGAAATGACGGCTTGGACAGTACGAAATGAAAGGGTCAGCCGATGCATTTTAAATTGTCAATGTAATCAAAATTTGTCAGCTGCCACTGTGATGGCCTTGATACTGAGGACATATCCTTCTGCAGCATATACCTTTCCGCCACCGAATTTGTTCTCCTTGGCAACAAGTAGGAACAACCACCATCATGGTGCGATAGGACATCACATACCTATACCTGATTGTATGCCTCCACATATATGTGGCATCACATCTTAAATACGCCAGAGAGCAGCATAGCACAATTCTGTACATTGGTCATCACATATCGTATCTGTACCTTAAAGTTTGTAATAAAACATATGCAGCTATGAATTAACCATACTGATAGAAAAATTCACTGGGTCTCTTATGTTATCCCTAAAACGACTTGAAAGCGAAAGCCCAAGCGCTGATGCATTAAAGACAGACAGATGATTTACGGAGGCGGCAATAGGGTACCGCGTCAGACTACTGAACAAAAGGTTGCTGGTTCGACACCAGCCGAGGGGCAAGAGCAAAAATTCTTTTTGGAGGAATATTAATATTCGCAGATGTCACGTAAACGTTTTGGTACCTTTTGTGTTGCCGACGTGGTTTCGCTCTATAAATGAACGATGAGACAAAAGCCTTATAAAAACAATTGTCACGAGCTGCCACAAAGTTTTGTCTTTAGGTGGCGTCCAGTGACCCGGAAGTCTATTTTACATGGGGAGGGGGGGGGGGGGGGGGGGGGCTGGCGGTCGAAATAAAGGAAGGGGGGGAGGGGGGGGTGAAAAAAAATTAAATTGAAACAACAACCATTATTAATGTTTTACTGTGTATAAAAGTTTTATTACCACTATCTATACCGTGTGTCCATACATTCATTAAAAATTCCTGTCACGAAGCAATGGGATGTTGACACATTTGACACAATCTGATCCAATAGCAGTAGCTATACGGTGTCGATGTAAAATGCACTGAAAAATCGGGTGCCTGCACATAGAAAACTCACATTTTCAACAAAGGTGTATTTTAATCGTGGACGCATTCTTATGAAATTTCTCGTTGCAGAATTTTGGGGCGCTGGGCTAAGGCTCTTCATGAGGCCTCTAATGCTGATGACATTACTGACTGTGATGACGATGGTGGCGGTGGTAACGACCATGACGGCATTGTGTATATTCTAACACCTTATGAAATACAACTATTGTTTGTTTTATGATACACCCAGGGAGGTTTTTGTATCGGTAAATTCAATGATTAGGTAATTCAGGTTTCACTGGATGAAAATGAAGCAGACGCGATTGTGGATTAGAGGGTGTTTTGGAAGAAAACATACAGCATTGAACGATTGGGCAACACGTTAAGAAGTATCACGAATGTTGAGCATCTCCATAGGGCCTCGTTAACTTCCATTGAAACATTTAAAATGACGACTTCGCGTTCCAATGAACGTTTTGACCAGGCCTACAACCTTATTTATACAGTACATGTCTCTACCAGCTTGCATAAATTCATCATGATGTTGAGTTAGAGAGGTGGCATTGATGATCCCCCTGATGTCAAGTGGCATGATTACTTGGGCACATATTGTAATAAATAATAACTCAAAGGATGCCCGCAAATTTCACATTACAAGAAAAAAAATCGCTACCCCTAAAGAGGTGCTACTCGCAAGCTTCCTTGCGAGTCGCAACTCAAAAACAGTCCCAAGAATATGGTGTTTTTATTCTAGTAATTGCTCCGATTTATTGGAGCTTGTCTAAATAGATTTTTTTTTTTTTTTTTTTCAATTGAAGGAGATATGAAACAATTTTTTTTACATTTGCTAAATACTACTTAGAATCACTCCCTAAAGTTAATAACTGAGTAAACTTGCCTTAGCTTTTCTTTCTAGGCGATAGCAGTCGCCAAACAAATTCGAGAAATATGAGCATCGTCCATCCCTTCAGTTGGAGCATGAAAGAGCGGCCACGGGGTCCTATGCCTCCAACGTTAATCATAGCCACGCGCTGGAGTTGGAAGAGTATAAAACGTGTGCTGAGCTCTAGGCATTGTTAGAGTTCGGGTATTCTCATCGCCGCAGTGGTTAGACACAAGCCACTACACGAGTGTCCACCGAGGCATTAATTGTTACGAGCGGAAGTCGAGTGCTCACGCAGTTCTCGTGTCCAATCCATGAGCCGTGCTCGACTGTCGTCAGGTGTGTAGTTTCGATCCCTCAATTACGCCATCAAGCTTTGTGAATGCAACACTGAAATAAATAGTCTTCTTTTATCCTCGCAATTTCACCGCGACAAAGAAGCTTCTGAATTAGTGACGGTCTGTGCGAGTATACTTGGGCCAGACTAGGACCAGTACGCCTCTTTAAAGTTATGAACATTCCAACCTGATATCGTTTCATGACCCGTTACATGACCAGTCCCAGGTTAATTCAACATGGTTAATATCCACCTGCTCGCCTGCACCCTTACGATTTTTTCGAAACCGAAACTGGACTGGGGAGGCAGAAGAAATATGGAGGAGGAGGGTGTTGCGAGAAGTCACGTGGTTGTGCAACTTTTATTTTCAATCAACATATTTGCAGCTTTTTAGAAGCCGCAAAAAATAGGTATCATATTTTGTTTTTATTTTTAATATTGAGTGTGTGCGTTCAATGACCCATGACTGATTATCTTTGGTGGTTGTGTCTAAACCATAGAAAACGGCATGTGACCACGAAAAAGAGAGTGAGCGTGACTCAAACCGGCCAGTTCTCGATCGTCGGTCTTTGGGCGGAAAGAAAACGAGTTTCGAGCTGCAAATTGTGTACTGGGTAGTTGGGCTCTCGTAAGTCATGTACAAATAAAACCCTTAGCGAGCAAAAATAGCCTCTCAGTGTCCCTTTAGCTATCTTCCACTCAGTTGGAAGCCTGCTTGAGAATAGATTTATTCAATAAAATAACTAGGAAGGGTGTTAGTATGGTGGAAAGTTGGGCGAGTTGGTGGTACATGTTTAACGAAAAAGTAAAACAGCGCAAAAAAAAATGAAGGAGAAGAAGACGAAGTGTACAGACATTGCGCTGACTCTCAACTGATTCCTTGGAAGAAAACACAAATCGACAAGCATCACAAACCATAAAAAAACATCAAGTCACCGGCTTCTGCACGTGTCAAACCTTCTCAAGATTGCCAACTCTTTGTCAAATGATGCGATAGAAGGTGAACTGACGCACCTTTCCTTTTGCTTCGAAATATAAAAGGCCTCTAAATTTCCTCTTGTCATCTGTTGACTGTGTTGTCCTAGGACACTCGTTTGATCAAGAATGGGTTTGCAACCGCACCTCTCACAGTGTACTGCCAAGCTGCCTGCTGGTGATGATCTGTTTGTATACTTCGTTTTCTTGTCCTCCGTTTTTTTGGCGCTGTTTTACTTTTTCGTTAAGCAAGGAGGGTGTTAATGCTGAGGCACGCTTTTTGAACATACAGTTTGGAATTCCATCTGGTCCTGTTGTTGAATGAAATTTAAAATTAAAAAGAAGATTTATATACCCCATTATCCTCAGTACCAAATTCTGGCATTTCATTAGGTATAGTCTCCAAGGATTGCAGTGTAATGTTCTCAGCTGTCATCAGAAGTCATCTGAAGTCAGTTCATTGTCATTAAGGATGGCTGGTACGCCCACATATCCATTATTGCTCGATTTTTTAACAAGTTTTCATAATTATTTTAAGTTGTTAACCAGCCTAAAACCTAAAAAAAAAAAAAAAAAAATTATTATTATTATTTTTTTTTTTAATGTATGATCAAGGCATCTGAGCTCAATTTTTGTTACCACGTTTTTTGCTTTCTTATACTTTAAAAGTAAACACCGCTGTTTCTTGAGGCTATATCACAGATTCTTGTCCATCCATGGTTTATCATTTCTATGCCTCTCTGATAACATTTTAGAGGGTACATATTTATTGATAAAAGCAAACAGTACATTTCTAAACAATTGCCAAAGATCTTCTATATCAATTGCCATGTAGCCGGAAGGTCAAAGGATAAGCTGTCGTAATCACCCTGATTAAAAAAATAATCATTTTTGGGGCAGGGCTTAGTGGTTATAGCGTGTTTACATATAACCTGCACTACTACAAGTTCAATCTGAAACCAAACTACTTGCATACAAGACAATAGTCCTTCCCAAATTAGAGTATGCATGCACCATTTCAAACCTCAACCAAAAATTACCTTCCACAGAAACTGGAATCTGTCCAAAACATAGCAACAAGATTTATATGCAACAACTACTTACCGGAAACTAGTGTCTCAGCCTTCAAAAACTAGCATTAACCTCTCTTCTGTAGAACAAAGACATAAAATGGCTCGTTTGTGTTTTTTCATAGCATTTATTACAGCGATTCGACTTTTAAATCAGTTTACTGCCGCCCTGTCAGTTTTACATCACCAAGATTAGATCATTCTTCCAAAATAAAACCATTCTTGGGTCGCACTGACACTTTCCTTTTCTCTCTCTTAGTACTTTGCATCAGAGACTGGAATGCATTACCTGATATTATAGTTACTTATAGCAATCCCATTTCATTTAGAGACGTGTTTAAAACTGTATAATTGCCCGCCTTGATTTTGATTTTGTAGAAGAGCTTTTGTACTCTGTTCGTGCTTTATTCTTGTTTCATTTCGCTTTGATTGATGACATTGGGTGTATCTGCAATCACATTTCACTTTTCAGTGTTTTGCTATTTTTGTTCTTTAGTTTCTGTAACTTGTTTTGAATCTCCCCTCATGTAATGCGTCCTTTGGACGCCCATGAGGTAAATAAAATGAAGTGAAATGACATGATCACTGATGCCCAAAATCGTCATCACCGAACAAACAAACAAAAAAAGATATGTAAAAGAAAATTATGATAGATTTGTGCGATGCAAGTCTTGTTGGAAGCGACACAAACTGTTGCAATTCATGAGTATTGATAAGTTCCGCAGACATGTTATAAAGAGACAATGAATTGCGTGAAAGTGGGAGATTGTCAACCCATTCCATATCCGGAAGATTAAAATTGCCATCAAGTATAACATCGTTGAGCATATTGCTGACAAAGTATTAGATAAGCACGAAAGGGAATCGATAGCATTATTGTTTGGTACTCTATAAAATGAGCCAACTGTCAAAGACTTGCCGTGTTACAGTTTTATCTCGCACCAAACCGATTCACAAACACAATCGCGCAACTCAAGAGCTGGGCCTGTTAGACCTTTTTAAATAAGTAAGAACACTCCCCGTCCCCTGAAATTTCTATCTTTACGGTGAACATCATAATTACCCAAAAATATTTCGGAACTGTTGAAAGAGCTGTCAAGCCAAGACTCGGTACCAACAACCACACCAGCTTGGGTTGAATTTAGGAGAAAGGAAAGTTTACCTTTTATATTTTTAATGCTTCTGCAGTTGATTGTCACCAACAAACAAACCCTGTCATCAACTGCAGGAGCAGTTGATGACAGGGTTTGTTTGTTAGATGCGATACACTTCCAAATTTTCAGATGCAATTCACTTAGACTTGACCTCTTGCAGCTAAAAAATCAAAAGAGCATGTGGATATACTTTTAAGATAATCCTGAAATTGAGGTGTGCAATGGGTGAATTCAAAGGCCTAATTAATAAATCAATAATCACAAATTTCTGTCCAACAAGGAATTTTTTTGAAGAGATGAACTGCTACACTAGTAGCTTGTAGACTATGAGATATATCAGTGCAGTTTTATTTTTATAATTTTAGATGTTGGCAGTAAATATGTGTTACAGTGACACTGGTGGAGTACAATGCACAAGTAGGAGTAAACTAAAAATACATTTGGCAAACATGACCTGAAAGAGTTGAAACATTACCTTCTGAAAATATAATTTTTTAAAATTTAGTTTTAGAGCATTGATGAAAATAGATATCTAGAAAAATAGAAAAAAATGTTTTCAAATTCTTCCATACACTACATTTGGTGCCACCACTTATATGAAGACCTCTCCGTGACCCCTAACAGCCTTGCGAAATATTTCATGCTGGAAGAAATGTTCAGCCCAACTTGGCCTACCCTGTAGATGTGTCTGTCAAGCTTGGTCACATGCTGGGTATTTTCTACTTTCCTAATATAGAACTGAAGTCCTGAATCACCTACTCATAACAAAAAAACAAAAATAGATATATTTTTTAAGGTGTTACTCCAGTTGCCTTGACATGTGGGAGTAAAACCAGATTTAATGTCTTTTTATTGCAGAACCAAGACCCAGTATGGCCCAAAGAAGGAGAAATTTGTGTATGCACAGTCACTACTAATCTTTTCGTGTATCATGAATGTAGTATTTGCAAAACTCAGTAAGTAAATTTCTACTTTCCTCATGCATTATTTGAAGTGGGAACGAGCATGTACTTCCACACATCGTTGACTACTACTATGACAATTTGAAAAACAAAACGATAAGTTTTTTGAAGAAGCAGCTTCATGGTGTTGTTGCATGATTTTCATGATGCTTCAAAAAAATGTATGTGTAAGGAGCTTGTGTCTCATCTTGCTCATTCATTTTGCACCTTGCATCTTCAGCCTTCTATTCGTTTCAAAGTCTACAAGGGCAGTTTTTTTCTGTTTTACATCTTTTTGAAGAACTGTTCTGGGTAGTGGATGAACCTTGCAAAGGGTAGACTTTTCTTGAAGCAAACATTGCTATAAATCACGTCAAAGAAAAAGCTAATGCAGACACCCTAATGTTATGTGCAACCTTCTTTCAAATGGCTTGTTCCCAAAAGATAGCCTTTCTATGTTTCTTGTTCTAGTAATTTGTTGTTAAAACACACACATATATACACACACAGACAGAGAAAGAGAGAGGATAGCTTTTTTTGTAGGAATCACTTTTGTCTGGGTTCGGACGATTTATGATATGTAATAACCATTCTTAGTTTTGACATGTTCCATGGCAAGTCATTCAACAAAGTTTTTCTTTGTCCTGCAAATAACATGTTTGGGGTGTCACTTACGACAGCTAATGTATGTGTAAGTGAAAATATTCAAAACAAGCAAATTTTTCTAGGTTTTTGGGTCTGATAATTTTTCAGGATGTTATGCTAGTTATCTTAAGTAGCTGTCTCTGGGTTACTTGAAATAGCTGTTTAAAACAAGAAACATCTGTGGAATAATCTTGCCCCTTTTTAGGAGGGAAACTGCTTAGATGTCTGTAAGCCTTTCTTATGCATTGAAATTGCTAATAGGTCCTAATTTCTGTGACCAGTACTCAAGTCTTTTTAAAAATGTGCCTAATTACCCATGTAAATCCACTGACATGTAACATCTAGTTTTAGATTACCGTAAAATACCGAGCAAATGCCCCCTCCAAACTTAGAGATTGTCCAATCAAAATAGGGAGGGAGCCCTACTTGGTTCAGGAATAACATTCAAGATGGTGGCCACAAAAAAATAAAATTTTCTTGAAATGCAAGGGGGCACTTACACGAGGGGGGGGGGGGGGGGGGGGGCATGCTTGGTATTTTACGGTACATTAGTGGTGGTATCAGTCTATAAAGAAACTAAACAAAAGAATTGAGGTAATTTGTCACGTGTTATGTCAATTGACATGTTATTGCAGGAATGTCTGACATCACAATAAACTTTTTTTTTTCAGTGCTGTCAACGTTTTTAAAACAAGGTGTGGACACAACAAGGAGGTCTTACTACATCATAGCAGCCATGACCTATTTAGGAGCCATGCTTGCTAGTACAATTTCACTACAGTTTGTGAATTACACTACACAGGTATGATAATTCCTGCAACTTGTAGCTCTAGTGCCATTGTTGTCCAGGTGATAATCAGTCTAGTTGGAGCTGAATTACAAAACTCCCAGTTAGATCCAGCTGGATAAAGTCCCATTACCAGCTAGGACCAGTTCTGTAATTCAGCTCCAGCTGAACCTATTTTTGCCGGGGACCTAAAGGTGTTCCTGGCCTCAAGTGGCATGGTAGACGCTGCTTGGCATCATAAGCACACAGATTTTTGATACTATGCCTCATCCCGTAGGAAAGGAAATAAATAAAATGGCCCATTTCAAACGTAGAAAGCTTTGTTGTCATAAAATGTATGTATTGTATCATGAATCAAGTTGGTGGTTGGTGTTGCATGTGAGCGCATTATTGCGTGACACTAGTTTTGATGGCAGTCTTTTATCTTACTACATTATAGTTTTGCTTCACAGACATGAGTGCATGCTGAATATTTTATGGTAAGCATATTTCAAAGCTGATCCACAAAGCAGAATTGTGACCTTCTGAGTGGAGCAGTAAATGAAAAGCCATCTAAAACAGCCAAATTCATAGAAATTAATTTGTTTGCACTTCGAATTAAAACTGTGACTCAATACGAATTTACTATTTTGGTAGTATAAAAGAATGACCATCAGGAGGACGTTGCTTTGCTACCTCAGCTGTGGTGGCACAGGAACTTTTTTCCCTTTTCCCTCAATATAAATTTTTTTATTTGTTCTCACACTATCGTGGCAGTGGCAGTGGCAGCACACAATGTATTGCGTGTCGCTTCATGGTGATGCTGCACAGAACTTAGCATGCATTTTGTGCCCCGACAGCGTGAACATTGTCTAGCATAACGTTCGAAAAAAAGCCGTACCAAACAAAGCTAGTGTCCAATGGGAGTAGAGTGCAAAGTTTGCACCTCTTGCGGTCTCACACCCAGATTTCACCCTGCTATTTTGTATCTCTCCATTCCCTCCGAAGCATGCCCTTGTCCTCTTCCTCCTTGCCTTCTGCACTCTCCCACCACATGCGCGAGCACACTCGCTCAGCATCTAAATGACGAGGGCATTGGGCAGGATTTTCCATGTTGTCAACCGGAGGCAAGAGCGAGACGCAAGTCGGACACGACTGCTGTCTCTGGCTGGGACTCGCGTCTGACCAGTAAGACCACTAGTTCCAGCCCAATGCTGATGCAGCAGTTGTGTCCAATTCATGTTCATGCGACGCTCTTCCGTTTCAGGGAGTGCGTGATAGGAAACTGGCTAGGAACCAGCCATGTAACAGATTTTCTGTTAAAAGAGAGAGGGAGTGCATGTTCGTGTTTAGTTTATATTTTTATATGGAAGAATTTCACCCGCTCAGATCTGGCCTTTCGTTGCTCGGTTCATTTAGCGATGCATATTAGAAATTCTAAGAAAACTGCTGGTGCAAAGTCATAGGTTTAGGCACTAAGCTCTAGTACAAGTGCCTAGCCTTAATACATGTCTCAATTGCATGAGCGGGAGAATCGGTCAGAGCCACGGGCATGTTCCTGGAGCCTTGCTTTCACTACTGCGAGCAAAACAATGTACAGTAGCTCGCAATAATTCAGACTTGGATGTTTGATACTTTTGGTTAATTCAAATAAATTTCAAAATTTTTGTTGTCCCACTAAGTGTTTAATGCCACTTAAACCGCTTAATTCGAACAGCATTTTCGTGTAATTCATTAGTTCATACTCTTTTTCCTCGTGGCCCTGTTGAGTGTGCTTCTTTCCGAGCACCGGTGCACTGCAGAGAGGCGTAATTCATTAATTCTTACCCTTTTCCCTGTGGCCCTGTTGAGTGCACTTCTTTCCGAGCACCGGTGCACTGCAGGGAGGCAACACCCTTAAAGCTCACTTCCGTGAGCGTTGCTTCTCTCCAGTGCACCGTTGCTCGGTGAGAAGCGCACTCAGCGGGGCTCAAGCAGGGCACACAAGCAATGAAAACGGGCACAACGCAGAATTTTCCATAGCAATTTGTGCAGATGCTGTGATATGGCGGCATGGCATAGGTTCACATTACAGCGGCTGCTCAAGTTACTATAAAAACTTACGCGCAGTGCCCGTTTTCATCGCTCATGTGCCCCATGTTTACTAGTCCAGATTAGATAACTTCTTGGCCTGATGAACAAATTTAATTTTGTTTTGAGGTGTCATGTGCTGTCTAAACAGTCCACGATAAGTAAAATTTTTGAGAGATAAACAAACTTGCGTCATACATATCACAAATGTTTCATGTGTGGCATACCTGCTTATGACCAGTAGGCCTCTGTAGAAGAAATGATCAAATATCTGCTTTGTATGTATAGCCTTCAAATGGCAAATCATAATTTTATCTTGCATCATATTTAAATGAATTTGGTATAATTCAAACTTCTGATAATTCAAACAAAATTTGTGTCTTCCTGGAGTTTGAATTAAAAAGAGTCTACTGTAAAATTTGCTCCTATTCCACGAGCAGACACACAGCAAAATCTTCTTTTGACAGCTCCCTTCTAGCACTCAAAGTTATTGCCAGACAGCAGATTGGAATGGAGCAAGCCATACTTTCTTAAGGCAGTAAAAGTTGGAAGTTGTTTAGAGCCTAGATTTGGCTGCTTCTTTATTTGCATAAGCTTAGAACTTAGAGGGAGCAGCTTCATTGAGCAAGACACCGAGCAGGCCACTGCAGTGGAAAATTAAACTATGCCGGGTGTGGATTCCCTTCAGGTGGTGGGGAAGTCGTGCAAGCCCATCCCTGTGATGGTGCTCGGGGTGCTGATTGGAGGCAAACGCTACAGTCTGTCCAAATATCTCTCCATCCTGGTGGTGGTCCTGGGGGTGGGCCTTTTCATCTACAAGGACAAGAAGGCTTCCCAGACCACGCAGAGCATCACAGGCACCGGGGAGCTGCTGCTGGTACGTATGCGGGCTCCACCTTCGGTTGCTCAAGCAGAGGGCTACCTGGGTTCCTTGTAGCTTTAGATGCTATTCCTATTGGCAATTTTCATAACATTTTTTAAACTACTTTCACGGCTTCGTCTTTAGACTGCCAGGCACGGTGACAATGCTATTCGCTCAAGAAGGCGGGCTGGCAAACCTGTCCTTGCAGCTATCTCTCCTAGCTGCTAGGTGCCGTCGACTTCGCAGAAGTCGCAAATAGACCCTATTCATAAAAATGCTACAAGGTGGCACTGTAGCATTTGGCAGTTCCACAAACTTTTGGTCGAATGGGAAGACAAACAATGTCTCATATAGGACCGGTCCTTGCGACTCCCACAATATATTCTATTAATAATTGTTCAGGTGCTTAGCCAAAGGATCAGTTAGCGAAAGATTTGTTGATGATTTTTTAATACTACTCCTATGTATATGATCACCTGTTATGTTGAACAGCATAGCATAAGGGCCCTGTTTAATCTCCTATGTATATGATCACCTGTTGTGTTGAATAGCATAGCATAAGGGCCCTGTTTAATCTCCTATGTATATGATCACCTGTTATGTTGAATAGCATAGCATAAGGGCCCTGTTTAATCTCGAACGTCATTGTTTACACCTTAATGTTCCTACAACAGTGTGACCTAAACAAGCTCGCAAGGCCTGCCAAAACGGAGCGACTCGAAGTCGCTTGGTAGGCGAGAGCCACATTGTGTGTGTAAACTCAAAAAAGACTTGATTTCTGGGCTTGACACATTCCTATTGACTACAAGAATGTGCCTTTGAAAGCAATTATCGAGCACGTTTTATGAAATTTAGCATGTTTGCCAGTTGTCCCAGTAGCTTCTAAAGGAAGCTTTAATTACCGTCTAAACCGTCCTTACCTTGTCTTTAGCGAAAACCATGCTGTGGAAATGGGCTGGAAGTATTTCATTGTGTGCGATTTAGTAGAGAAGAGTATGGCAACAGTAGGTACTACTACATTGCCAGGACATTGGGATTATGAGCATGGAGGATGTCATAAATGCTGAGACGATGCTGTCTATATCATGACTTCTGAAATTGGAAAACAGTGCGCAAAAAGACGAAGACGACGAGAGAAGAGCACAGGACAAGCGCGGTCCTGTGCTCTTCTCTCGTCGTCTTCGTCTTTTTGCGCGCTGTTTTCCAATTTCAGAAGTCATGAACCAACTCGCTTGCATTGCCACCTTAATACTGTCTATATCAGAAAAGCATAAACCTTTTCTAGTAGTTGTAGCTTCAAATGAATTTTTTGATACTACGAGAATTACTGTGGTTGTGGGTTATGTTTGGAATGTGGTTCTACAAAATAGAATACCTTGACACGTGCATTCCACCTATTTCAAAGCATAGTTCGGTATTTCTAAATTTTAGCAACCAAAGCAGCATATTCCTAAGGCTTGGGACAATGCTGTATACACCTTAAACAGGCTGAAGTTACACCATCATATGGAACTTCTTTGCCTTGCTACATTTTGTTTAGGATACAAATAAACCAAGACAACTCTTTTTCCTGCAGCTCCTCTCGCTTAGCCTCGATGGCATAACAGGGGCAGTCCAAGAGCGGATGAAGTCGGAATACCAGACAAAGTCTGGTCACATGATGCTAATGATGAACTTTTGGGCCACTGTCTGCCTTGTTTTTGGTGAGACCCATTTCTGCTTTTGGCAAATGTATGGACCTGCTTTTGAAATGGCCTTGCTTTACTAGGCATGGCGATTTGTTAGCCTTGCCTCATTGAATATCTACCGTCTCCTATTGATTTGTATTGAGCTGTGCACCTGTCAGAACACAAATGCTAGAACATCAGTTAATGATTAGACCAAGAAGATTTGGTTTATTGGAATGAGGTGCCAGCCCCCAATCAGTTTGCAATAATAGCTTTAGAGAATACAACATCATCAGCTCACATTAGCTTCAGTGAATACAACCTGCACTTACTCGAATTCGTACCTGTGCACTGTCAAGAGACGGATGTTCTTATACACAGTCGAAACAAATTTATTAGTTCATAGTTTCTCCAAGTATGTTAATGCTGGGCAATGTGAATGATTTGTTTCAGCTCAACTCTTCACACAGGAAATGTGGGCCTTTGTAGCATTTCTACAAAGATATCCTAGCCTCTTCCTAAATATACTTCTCTTTGCCTTGACTGGAGCATTGGGACAGGTGAGATTGGCTTTCACGGATTAATTTTAACGATACTATTTATTGAATGTGGCCTCATAGAGTCTAAAGCCTACAAGGGATGGCAAGTAAATGACACATTTTACATGAAATTAAAGCTAGAGTGATACTTAAGTGTACCTAATAGACCAATCTCGCTAAGCGTTCCACGCGTGCGTGACACCGCCATAACTGTGGCTCATAGGAGGCAGGCGCCAGTGCCCGAGACAGTTGGTGCCGCCTTTTGCAGAAAGACTACAGGTCTCACGATGCATGGTAGCAGCAGTGGCGTAATGAAACTGGCTGAGAGATTGGTCTATTTGGGAAATTTACGAATCTCCTTGCTACACCCAAATATTCTTCTTCAATCTCAAATTTAAAAAAAAAGAAAAAACAACAACAAACAAGCATGACCAATGATCTATGTAGCTTGCCAGGACAATGCTGCTGAACACATCTTTGCATGGTAGCCATATTTTCGTTTTTTGAAATTTTTATTGCAGGGTAGACACAAAGCCCAAGTTCCAGGTTCTTTTTAAATACACGAGGCGCGTGCCTTTAGGCATGGGGCTGCACTGCGGCAAAGCAAAGATCGCCAGATCGCAATGTCAGCTCCACAAGTATTGCTTCTCTGTAGTGCACTGGTGCATGGCGAGAAGCGTGCTCACCAGGGTTAAATAACTTGCTGCAGCCGTAACTTTGCCTACCAACACTTTGAAAAGTACAAATATTAGAGTTCATCTTTAAGCGAATATCAAATAGCATGTTACTCAAAACTATTTATAATCCTCTATGTGCTATGTGTATATAACTCAATTTTGAATTCACGATAGATTGGGCTGGAATCCAAGCTAACGTTTTGCTAGTTTGGTTTTACTAAATCCCCGAATGACTATGCTGAGTGAGGCTCACAAGTTGGGTATGATGCTTCTTTCCAGACATTGATTTTCCGAACGGTGAGCGAGTACGGCCCACTTCCTTGCTCGGTCGTTACAACAACGCGAAAGTTCTTCACTGTTCTTGGCTCCGTCGTCATCTTCAACAATCCTCTGATTACCAGGCAGTGGGTCGGAGTCGTGTTAGTCTTTGCAGGTAAGTGCATCACTAGAAAAAAAAAAAAAAAAAAAAAAAAAAAAAAAAAAAAAAAACGTTGTAGAGCGAGGCTTTGTTTAACAATGAGGCGGGCCAAAACTGTGCGGGCCGCACCTAGCGAGACGTGTTGCTCATTTTGGCTGCAGACAGGCGTCATTGCCCTCGTTGCCGTCTTTAGCACGTTCTGCGACGTCACGTCCATCATGGCAGATCGAAGACAGTTCTTGTTGAACCATCAGCGAGGAGGAGGTCTGTTTGCAAACAAATGTGCTCCCAATACGTGACAGGTGGCGGGTTCGAATCCCGACCGAGGCGCCCGCAATATGACGGAGGCTTATTGCGGAGAAGGCGCCGTGTAACCGAGCTTCCAGTTGCACGTCAAAAGATCCCCAGGTGGTCGAAATTAATCCTCAGTCCTCCGCTGGGGCGTGTCAGATGCCCGTTGTAGGTTTGGCACGTAAAACCCCCAAATTTGAATTTTTTCCCAAAACGTGACGCTAGTTCCAAGGCGTGGTCCACCGGGTTTGCATACCTGTTTTGTCAAGGTTTTCGTAGAACTCGAGCAGCTGAGCTTTGGGATGCATACTCTTCAGTGCTGGCAAACACTGGAGTTCGGTGAGGTGCAGTTGCACCGCGGGATTGGAGTCCTCCAGGGATGAGAAAAGAGGATCGCGGAATAGTTCATTGCTTGTGTGCCCTGCGAAGACTCGCGCCGTCGCGGCATTTCCAGTGCCGACAGAGAGGTCCTTGCGAAGATTCCTTGGACCTTGTGCCTATTATTGAAGCTTCGTAAAGGATTTTGCAAGGATTTCCGCACCGTTCACAAATCTTGTGAAGGACGCCGAAAAGTTAAAATGGCCGAGGAACTGCAGCAGGCATTCGACAAGCTGAAGCGAAGACTCCAGACTCCTCCTGGTTTTGGACACTTTGATCAGGATGCAGAGACTGAGATTCACACGGACGCTAGTAACGCAGGACTTGGAGCTGTACTGGTTCAAGTGCAAGAAGGCACCGAGCGAGTCCGCCTACGCAAGTCGGGCGCTGTTCAAGGCGGAGAGAAATTGCTCCATGACTAAAAAAGAATGTCTTGCATTCGTCTGGGCAATCACAAAGTTTCACCCATACTTGTACGGGAGCCCGTTCCCCGCAGTCACTGACCACCACTCGCTCCGCTGGTTTGCGAACCTCAAGGACCCTTCAGGAAGCCTCTCTCAATGGAGTCTCCGACTACAAGAGTTCAACATGACTGTGGTGTACAAGTCCGGCCGGAAGCACAGTGATGCCGACTGTCTGTCAAGGGCCTCCATCAAAGCCGTACTTGCCTGCATCGACGACGATGACTGTTTTCTGGGTGCAGTAAATATCAGCGACATAGCAGCATTTCAATGAGCCAATCCTAACCTGCGCGCACTAATAGAGCACCTGGAATGGCACGGGAGTACCATTCCACATGTTTTCTCATGAGCCCTGCCAACCTTCACCATTCGGCAAAGAGTACTCTACAAAGAGGAGTTCGGGGACAGCAACTCGCCGCGGCTGCTGGTAATTCCGACCGACCTTTGAGAGGAGATTTTTTGAACATGTCACGATGACCCGACGTCTGGACATTTTAGTTACAGCCGAACACTGGCCAATATTCGTCAAAAGTATTACTTGCCCGAGCTTCCCAAAACTATCCACCTCTACACCCGATCATGCCACGAGTGCCAGCGATGCAAGAAACCGCCGACGAAGCCGGCAAGTTTCTTGCAGCCAATTCCTCCGCCAAGCACATCGTTCCAACAGATTGGAATGGATCTACTTGGTCCTTTTCCGCAGTCGACCCTGGGAAACCGTTGAATAATTGTAGCCACTGATTATCTAACACGATACCCCGAGACAAAAGCCCTTCCTTCAGGGACTGCTGTGAAATTCACCAAGTTTTTTTATCGAGTCCATCGTCCTCCGGCATGGCGCTCCCGAAGTTGATTACAGATAGCGGGTCATCATCGTTCATAGCACAGCTGATGGAAGAGATCTTCCGTCTCAGCTGGACCTGAATCACGCCGCGAGACCGGTGAAACTTGCATTTAACGAGTTGTGCCTCTTTCCTGCGGCACTGCGCTTTTGTAAAATTTTTCACATGTTCTCAATGGCAAAGTCTCAACGCTTTCACAGTGTCTTAAAAAACTTCTTCGGTGAATGATGATGAACAAGTAGAAAACATGTCTTCAGCACGCTGCCGCCAGCCTCTGCAACGCTAGCAAAACCGCAATTTGTCTACGAGCAAGATGGCCGTCCAGTGGCTTCACTCGCCCAAAGCCATATATGGGGAGAGTTTGGCCAGTCTATGATTTCGCCGCCGTAACGCCCCCTTCCCGAGTGAGCCAATCAGCCTGCGGCGCAGAGCAAGAGGTGTGAGCGCATGCGCATGAACTCTCAGCTGCTCCCAGCAGAGCGAAGAGGGCCGTCATTTTCATTCATTCGCCCGGCGGAATGCATGGGGTTGACGTCCAAATTTCGGTTCTTTCCTTTTATTTGGCAGACCCTGGCACGAAAATGATATAGTGTTTTTCCTCGGTGGCTTAAAAAGCTAATGAATTAAATTTCTCCGCGTCTGAACGCAAACTTTGATTCAGGCGAAAAAAAAAATAAGCCCGTAGCAGTCGACGCGTAGCCTCACCAGTGCTCCGTGCCGACAGTGTTGCGTCAAAATGGCGATCGTCTCCTCTTTGCTCCTTTCTTTCTCTCTCACTCTTTCAACGCTCTCCTTCCTTTCGTTCACTTTTCTCCTCTCCGGTGCCTTCGTTGCCACACTCACTGGCCACAATCTGGTCACTCTCGCAATTTCACGGCTCTGCACTCGACCTGCAGCAAACCGAGCGTGTAAGCGCGACCCAGCAATTGTCATAGAGATCAGTGGGCAAACACAATTTATTTTCCTTCGACTCTCACATGGTTCCAGGTGAATTTCAGGGGCGAAGCTCCTTAGGGTCTAGCCTTGTCTGGCCTCCGTGCTAACATTGATTGCACTGCCTCCAGGATCGGCCCACTTTAAAAAAAAAAAAAAAAACGATGTACGCCCACACGGAAGGTCGAACTAAGGACCGCTTGCTTACGAGGCAGACGTCTTAACCACTACGCTACACTTCAACGATGCATGTAACCGCTCAACGTCTATACAGGAGAAGGCGTTGCGGTCAAATGCGTATTTAATCGCGTTAAACTTTGCATGCATTGGCTCAACGTCTATAGACGAAAGGGCACTGCGGTCAAATGCTCAACTCCGTATATAACCACGATTCATACCACACATTCTCTTTCTGACATGGACCATTGACTTGAGCGGTGGAAATGCGTTCCCACGGCTTCTAGTGGGTCCAAGCTGATCTGCTAGAACAGGGATGGGCAGTATTTCAAATACAAGTATTTCAAATACTTTGTGTATTTTGCATTTGTATTTAATTACAAATTGGGTAATGTATTTGACGTGTGTATTTAAATACTAAAACGGGGGTATTTCAAATACAATTGTAATTAAATACAATTTTGTGGGCGAAAATACATCCCTCAAATTCATTGTCACTGTCCAGAGCAGGAAGAAAACTATGCTCTGCATCGAGTGCAGTGTCTCTCAATCAAGCACAAGCGTTTAGTGACTTTGTGATTACGGTGCTAGTCTAGGGCAAGAATAGGGACGAAATCGACGTTCACAGGCAGACTGGCTAAAGAAGTGCCTGTGACAACTTGTGATGCTTTCCAGCCTAATTTTCATCCATATTTTTGCCTGGAACATTCTAAATGCCGGGTCGTCCAGATTTTCGTAACTGGTGCGAGTTGCAACAACAAAAAATTCTCTAGCTAGTGCTGCGCGTCTTGGTCGACTATGTTCTTTGTTGGTCTATACCAAAATTGAATCGACAAAAAAAAGCAGCTTGAAGCTCTGTACTTTTTTCGCCTATTACGTCCAAGCAGATTACATTTTTTTGTGATTATATTTCTATTACGTTACTAGAGCCTCGCACACTAACTCCCGAGTGTGCGATGCAAAATTAAGTGAGGTACCCAGAATCCCGTTCCAGGTGCCTTGAAGTCGCTGACGCAAATATTGAGGAATGTATTTGAAAAAGTATTTGGAGGAGACCAAATACATTTGGTTGTATTTGTATCTTGTACTTAAATACTTTTTTGGAAATGTAATTAGACTTGTAATTAAATACATTTTTGACAAAGTATTTTGTATTTGTATTTCGATACATGTTTGCATGTATTTTGCCCATCCCTGCGCTAGAAGAACCACTGGCTTTGCATTTCACTGATCATAAAGCAGTAATAATGAAGACGAAACGGAACCCGGAACTTAGCACTACCTATGAGCAATAAAGAAAAATCGGCGCCATCAGCACTACCTATGAACAATAAAATCAGTATTATCAGCACCACCAGAGCTTCGCCCCAATCAACATCATTCGCCACGTGGAGATGCGTCCATTGTTTTCACGACCTGGGATATTCTGATACCACTGATGCTGATAAGATTTCCTAACTGTCGGAACTGTACTGCGTGATACGCGTGATATTACATTCTGGCTGTGAACTGTGTTGTGCTTCGTCGCCGTTCGTCGTTATGACAAGTGAACTTCTGTTCGGATCACAGAAACACGAATCAAAGAAACTAACGAAGTTACAACAATCGCAGTGATAGTGGTGGCACCGTGCAACGCCTCTTCGGGATTTTTCTGGCGACAGGTAACCATGTCGTAGTGATCGTGGGTAACACGAGTGGCCCTTTTTACCCGTCGTTAGCTATCTGTCGGCGCGCAGCTTCCGCTCAGCTATGCATATTTGGGGAGTTCTATGCTGTGGTGGCTCGTAATAAATTGCTACATTCTTTTACTAAAACCAAAATAGGCATTTCCGTGTCGTTGCTTTCCGCCGCAGTAAAAACGGAAAAGCCAGACAAGCATTTCCGGCTTTGGTAAAGAAAAATAAGCGAAACAAGCATATTCGGTAAAACATTGTTCACTAAAACATCATTTGCTGAAGTGACCAATATTTTCTAAAAAATCATTCGCTATGTTGATTTGCTCAAATGACCTCTTTTCGCTAAAGTGTCATTTGCTAAAATGTCATTCGCTCATGTGATATGGACCTGCGGGGATGATAGACATTACTCTAAGAGTAACTCTTAAGCCATGCACGGGTGGTAGTGAAAGAATGAACTCGACAACTTGTTTGTTTGACATTTCGTTAGGTCTGCGATGGTCCGCATACTGCCATTCCTCTGTTCCCGTACTGCAGTCTGCAGCGCGCAGACCACAGACTGCCATCCCCGAGAACTGGCGATGGCATTGCGCAAGCGGAAATCTTTGTCTTTGAGGGAAAAGTTGAACATCCTGGCAGTTGTCAACCGGGACCCTAAACGGAAGAGAATCGACGTCACCAAGGACCTCGGACTGCCTGCGTCGACGGTCAACATGATCGTGTCGAAATGAAAGGAAGTAGAAGAGAACAGTCTGGTCTTCGGTGTAGCGACGAAGCAGGACCGCAGAGCAAAGCACGGAGAGTTAGAGGATGCGCTGCTTAAGGTGGTTTAAGCAAGCACAGGCGTCTGGTGTGAACTTTGTTGGCAGAATTCTGCGGACATCACGAACATCGAAGATTTCACTGCGTCAAACGGCTGGATGGCCCGATTTCGGGTTCGCCATGGCATCTCATACCGCCAAGTAAATGGTGAAGCAGCCAGCGTGAATCCGGCGGAGAATGAGAACTGGGTTGCATTGCTTCCGGGCATTGTGAATACCTATGCCCCACGCTACATCTACAACACCGATGAACTTGGACCTTGTGGTACAACCACGAAGGTACAACCACGAAGTCCCCGAGTTTGAAGGGGGAGTCGTGCCACGGCAGGAAGGTCAGCAAGGAAGAGGCAACCGTGCTGCTGTGCTGCAATGAAGATGGCACAGACATGATCAAGCCGTGAATGATCAAGAAATAGAAGAACCCGATATGCCTGAAAAACCTTGCTCGGCTTCCTTGTGTGTACAAGCAAAACACGAAGGCTTGGATGACCTGCAGCCTTTTCAAAGTGTTTCTGCTGTACCTCGACGGGCGAGTGGGGAGCAAAGACCGAAAGCGACTTCTCTTTTTGGATAACTTTTCGGCTCATCCGAAAAACACGTTGTTCCTGCGCAACCTCGGAGTCATCTTCCTGCCAACGAATGCGACGAGTCACTTGCAGCCTCTGGATGGCGGCATCATCAAGAACGTGAAGCACCTCTACAGGAAGTGCATCGTGCAACGCTTCTTGGCTCGCGTGTGCTGAGGAGAAGAGCCCGGCAACCTCACGTTGCTTGATGCTATGCATTATCTGAACACATTGTGGGAGAGTGTGACCGGCGAAACAGTTAAGAATTGTTTCAGGAAGTGCAGCTTTCGGCGTTCGCAAAAGGTGGAGCAGCCCGAGCCCTGTGTGAGCAGTGACCCTGACCCTTGCATGACTGATGACGACGACATGTATAAGGAGCTCCGCTCCGCCGGCACAGAGCTGGCGTTCAGCGATTTCACGCTGTGGATGACGATGTCCCAGCGTGCGGCCCCCAAGCCGTTGCTGACATCGTGGCGGACTTGCGACCGGGCCAAGCTTCAAGAGACGAGCATGACGACGAAGAGGATGAGCCAGAAACGCCCCCAGGAGCCACTTTCACTCAGGCTGTCGCTGCACTAGAATGTGCAGCGACTGGAGCTGCTTTGACACAAAAGACAACCCTGCAGCCAAGGGAGGCCTGCAGACGCTGCAGAAGGAACTCTTCCTGCCAAAAGGTCACGGTTTGTACCAGCAGAAGCTGACTGACGTTTTTGGAAAGTGAGGGACCAGTATTAAATGTTGGTTAGCACTCGCAAATTGTTGTTTTTTTCCCTGCTGCCTAGAAATGTCAAGTTCGGACCATACGTTTTTTTTCTTGCGTCTTTTGAGAAACATATCAGCGAGGTTCTACTGTAATAATTTTTGATTGTACGGAAAATATATGGGCTGTTGATCAAGCCGACCACTGCTGTGCGCGTTACGCCTTCTCCCACAAGTCACTCAAGCGGTGGAGGAAGCTCTTCTGGATCCTTGAGATTGCCATCGTCAATAGCTTCCTGCTAATGCAGATGCAGCAGGCCGCTCGGGGACTGAAGGGAAAAGGCACCTCCAGTACCGCCAAGAGCTGATCGAACAGCTGTTCGGGGACTTGCGGGTGTGACCCAAGAAGAGAGGACGAACATCACAATCAGACACCGAGTAGAGATTGGATGGGAGGCAGCACTTCATATACAAGCTAAAAGAACATGCCAGCAAGGACTGTGCATTATGCAGCTATTGAAAGACCAAAGGTAACAGGAGAGAAACAGTTTCGTTCTCCAAGACTTCCACCAAGAACGTCGGTCTCCACCCTGGAGGATGCGTCAAAAATATCACATGCTGTCAAAGTATCGCTAGAGACCCCTATGCAGGAGTAATTTTCCTTTCTCTTGGCTCATGCGCTCGAAATAATATCCGACCGGAATGACCGTGATGGTGGTCAGACTATCTGACCGCAAAGGGTTAATGTGTGATAGAAGATACCTGTAAAATATTGTGATAATGCTACATCTTGGGCATGCTTATATGCATGTCCACTACCAGTTTGTTGAAATGATTTTTAACCACATTTTTGTAGAGCAAGTTGCACTTAAATTTTTTGCATACACTTTCGTTTCAGGGCTCATTGCGGATGCCTATTTTGGGAAGACAAGCAAGGTGAAGAAATGAATCTCGACGGGGAGGGAAGGTTGCTCATTACAAAGAAGGTTGGGATAGACATGTCAACATACCTCATTGACCACTGTAAATAAGAGCGAGCTATTTAAATAGAAAGCTTTCAAACACCAGGCCATTTTATCATGAGATGGGAAAAGAACTGCGGTCGGTCACATCTTCGGTGGCCCAATAAACCACAGTTCTAAAAATGTCTCATATTTTTCTGTCTACGTCTCAGGGCCAGAAGAGGGGACCCAAACTTGGCCAAAATATAGTAATTACTCTTTTTCAAGCTCTGAACATATTTACTGTAAAATACCAGACAAGCCTCACCCAAATTATGCGAGGAGTTTGGCAAATTTTCGGGCATTCACTTGTAAAATGTATTTGCAATTTATGTTCTATACAATTAGAAACTGAGGAAGAGGAGATGAAAGTGAACAGGAACGTCGGAACATCGAGCTTTATTTGGATGAACAGTGAGTGGACGCAAAACTACTTACTTTTGACCCCACTCACTGTTTGAAAGCCAATGCCGAATGCCAGCGTTGGAGCGCTTTCAGACTGCGAATACAGACAGAGAAGCTTTGCATCTGCCTGCTAATTGTTCCAACCAAAGCTTGGTGTCCAGACGTCCACATGTGCTTGTCTCTTCTCTCCCTCAGTTTCTACCTTTACAGCCAATTCTAAAGTTCTTGGGGGAAAAAAAATAAAAAGTGTGCTTTCACCTGCGTTGGATGCACATTTGGTACCAGTGCAATGTAGAATAAACAAATTGGGTGGGTGCACTGAAAATGTTTTTTTAATCAATTTGGTTATGTAGCTTGCTTGCATTGAACCTTTTCTCAACACAAGTTTTCCCTGCGAATGTAGCCGAGTGCTAAACACAGCTTGTTCAGAGTGCATTAAACTGTGAACCCGAGTCTCACAGCTGAACCTTTCAAACTCCGCCGTTTCTTTTCATGGTCATCGATTTGCCTAAAAATTGGCTCCCCACACAAATACACATGGCTGTAGCTGTAAGCTAGATACTATGTAAAAATAAGATTTTCTTTGCAAAGGTAGTAAACTTTCAATTTAATCTTTTGTTTTTTTTTAAAGCTGAAGGGGTTTATTGGTTACATTGAAAAAACAACACCGGCAGCAGGCACTGGTTCACTGTTTGGGCAGTACAACTTCTTCCGAATGGTGTGAAAGCTCACTCTAGACTTGTTTAGCAGTACTAAGCAAATAAGCGAGATACTATTTTCCAGATCATAGATTCACAAAGTGGGGGTCGTGCGACTACGTCTGGGGGTCGCTGGGCCTCAGAAGCCTGAAAAGTTTGCACACCTCTCTTCTAGACCACCTACTTGACCTGCAAGTTTAGCTGCCAGTGACGTTGCGGGACAGGAAAGTGCAGGAAATTTTGAATGTTGGTTTTGACATCACTTTTGAATGCTGTTTTCTCAAACACTTTTCTTTTTAGTTAAAAAATGTTAAATAGCGCATTCGAAAGAGTAAAGCCCAGGTATTAAAAAAACGTTTTTAAACATTGGCAAAGCAACTTAAAAAAAAAAACTTTTTTGTCACAATTTTTTTTGTAGAAGTTTTTACAGCTTGCAGAATCCCTAATGCATGTTGTCAAGTCTAAGTCCTCTAAGTGATGCATTTTTCCAGAATAATTTATTTTTGGCATGCTAGCACCATGTGAAGTGGGACCTTTTGAACTTCCAATTGCATTTATCCCGGCTTCACTTTTTGGAATCAAATATTGGTTCAGGAAAACTATCATTTTATAATAAAATGCTGCATGGAACAGGTTTTTGGAGTTTCCATATTGGAATTTTGTACGGATTGCGGCTGTGAACTTAGTGCACTTTCATGCTCTTTTGTCATGGAAAGTTGCAGTTTCTTCAACCTAATACTTCCACAAAAAAAAATATATTTACAGAATATTTTTAATTAAAATTGCATATTTCTGTTATTTTTTACACAGCCACGTGATACAAGTGTTATTCTGTGTGCTTCACTGAAACAACTGGCCATTACCGTTTCTAAACGAGTTTTCCTCAGTAGGTGCAATGTTTCTTTGATGTGCTTTTGAGACACTCTTCTAAAAATTAAATTATAAAAATTTGCGTTGCATTCACAGTTACAAGCATGTCCTGCAAACTTCATACCAGTGAAACTTGAAAAGTTTGCCTTTCGGAGAAGCCTTCTTTAAAGGGATGCTACAAACACCAAAACATCACTCGTATAGTTATATCTTGAACGAATGACCATATTTTTTTTTTTTTTTTAAAAAAAGGAGGCGCATTTGACAGATATGTTTACGTCTTGTTTCTCCGAGAAGGAGAGGGAACGGCCTCGCGTCTTCTCTGCCTCGCCGCCTTGAGGGGGGGGGGGAAGCGAAGAGAGAAGAAAACGAGATATCTTAACGTCACGCGCCTCGTCGGCCTTGTTCAATCTCAACCTCTTTTTAAAAAAAGTATGGGTGTCCATTCGAGATATCGCCTTCCGAGTAGTGTTGAAGGGATTGTCGCGTCCCGCCTACAGCTCCTACACTGTTTTTTTTTTTTTTAAATCCAAATTTCGGTTTACCATCTCTTTGAAATTGCTGAACCCCCAAAACATTTTTCAAATGCCTGGATAGGATACATATGTCTCAAGAAAAGTAACTTTCAGAATTTCTCCTAACTCAAAATATGTCCCACAACAACATTGCACTGTTTTTTTTTTTTTGGGGGGGGGGGGGGGGAGTTTGTGACATGCTCTATCCAGGCACTTATGGAAGTGCTTTTTTAGTTTAGTTACCCTTTAAAATAGCCAAACACATTAAAACAATTCTTTGAAGATAAACACTGTTCTTTTTTTATGTTCAGATCACAGCACACTAAAGCAACAATATCACATCAAGAAGAGCCAACAAATTTGAGATGCTGGCCATTTTATCAGCCCACCACTGCTTGATTTTATTGCACAACTGAAACTGGCCAATATCGCATGATGCCTTATCTGCAGTGCTGAATTAAGAGCTCCATGCCTTAGATGGCACTGTTGTTTTTAATGCAGAAACATTTTAGGCCTTGACAGGTTAAATTCATGAAACCGATGCTACAAAAATGGGGAATGGAAGTGCATGCAAGCATAAGTGACATAATCACCATCTTTTTATTTCTTTGCCCATAAACAATTGCCTGTAGTGAGGCACAAATTAAAAGAATGTAAAACATGCCAAAATAAATACAGTGCATGTTAATATAAGAACACAACTAAGAAGCAAGCAAAAAGAAAAACTTCCTGCAGCAGATGCATATCAGTCACTCTTCTGTAATGACCCCAAGAGGGTTGACAGTATTACAAAATGAATAAGTTGGTGAATAAATAAGTGCATGTCTACCCATCCCCGGTGGAGAGTCTGAACGTTTCACCTTTTCATCACATGCCCTTAAAGGGCCCATGAACTGATTTTTGGGTTGGGATAAATCATTTTAGATTGGGATTTTACTAATAGCACATCGTTCAGTGGACCAAAAGAAAAAAGGTAGAAAGTCAAAAGCCTGACTTTAAGAGCGAAAATTTGAAAACAGAGCGGACTATTTCGTACCTCCTCCCCTTCGCAACCTCTCTGCCTTTTCACTGTGATACATCCGCGGTCCCAAAACCGCGTCAACGGGTCCAAACTGACGTCACACGCAACCGGACCTCACTTATTCCCTTCACCCCTAAGCGGACATTGTGATGGAAGCTACGCGCTTGCCGGACCAATCAGCCGCCTCCCTTTCATCACCTGACTTCATTCTCTGCAGCCACATTTGCCACGCTCACGTGGCAAGTGTGGCTGGCCCAACGAGCACGTAGCTTCAACAGCACTGTCAGCTTCGGAATGAACGGGGTCGGGAAAGCAACTTTTGTCCGAATTTTGAGCGACGGGCTAATCTTCTAGGGGGAGAATGGATGTGTCCGGATTACACAAACGAGAGTGCGAGCAAGAGGGGACCCCCTTTTCGTCTTCTTTAACTGTTTGGTGGAATGCGCGATTTATGAGTTGAGGAGGAAAGCTAAACAGGAAAAAGTTGGAAAAGCGTTTCATGACCCCTTTAACTGCACCGTTTGTGAACCGATTTTGAAAAATCAAAACCCTATCGATTCATCTTGTTGAACTGAATCTGGTACACTAAGCACTTCCAAAAAGTTCTCTAAACTATGTTATTCTGCTTCGCCTCTGCAAGTATGCTATGGAGACATAGTAGAAGGGTCTGAGCAAGTAACACTGCAGAGCACGTTTTGCTAGATATATTTCGAAATGCTAAAACGGTCAAAATATTTTCACATCTGTCCAGAATATATAAAGCACTGTGTGCTTTTTGCTAAAAAAATCTATAGGCAAGGCAAAGCAGAACAAGCCTTTATTGCGCAATATAACAAACAACATGCTCCATTATAGTTTATTATCAACAAACACCAACATCCATGTCATTCTTAGTTGACTGTTTCTATGTATAAATACAAAATGCACATAAAAAGTCACTATTAGCGATCATCAAATCCTGGCATGGGAAAGGTGACTGCAAAGGCTTCCACATCTTTACGTAGGGCAGCCATTTTTTTCAGGGTTTCTTCATCTTTGGCAATGAACTGCTTGAAGTCTTTCACTGTTTTGCCTGCACAGAGACAGTTGAATAACTCCAGTCAGTTAAGATGACACCCACGACAAACCGGTTTCACAGCAGCAAAGTGTTTAATTGGGCCAGATGGCCTACCTTGAAGTTCGGAAAAAGCGTTGAGAAAAAGACTAGGGCAAGCAAGTTAAACAATAAAGGCATCTTGTATTCATAGCTCATTTGATGTCTTTTTTTAGCTTTCTTCAAACCTGTTTTGCAATTAACCATAAAAAATTTAATTTACTGGAATGAAAAACACAACTGAAATATGTACAGAGCACTTAATTTCTTTCAGTTCAAGTTAGTTTCTCCTCATTGTACAAAACTGTGAAAGGCACCATAGTTTAATTTAGTATATGCAACCAGTTCGTGCTACAATTGCTTGATATTAGTGAAAAGACTGAGTGCGCAGGCGAGCTGGTGGTAGCTAATCGTGTCGTTTAACACCCAAGACTGTGGTGAAGAAAATGAAGAACTTTTATTCAAAGGAACAGACACAGAAGGGAACATCTCAAATTGATATTGAAGAACTGGTATATATAAAATTTTCTTGACTTTTTCATGGGCGACTTTTTTGTAGGCTCCGTGGTGAACTTTTCACAGCGGAGCTGTTAGGGGCTAGTTTCCCCAGTATCATGTCCATGGAAAAACAAATGTCAACGCAAAACTCCAGACAGCTACCGCCATCTATAAGCAACAGCCGCAACCAGACAACCGGCTTGCCGGTTGTCTGGTTGCCGCCATCGCTCATAGATGGTGGCAACCTTTCCACTCTGGTTTTGACCAGAATGGAAAGGCTGAATTTCTCTAGGCATCGTCCTAGAAGTCATCCTAGACGTTGTCCTTGAAGGTCGTCCGAGAGGTTGTCCTAGAAGTCATCCTTGAGGTGGTCCTAGACGTCGTCGAGATCGTCCTTGAGGTCGTCCTAGATGTTGTCCTCGAGGTCGTCCTAGAAGTCGTCCTTGAGGTTGTCTGAGACGTCGTCCCTGAGGTTGTCTGAGACGTCGTCCCTGAGGTTGTCCTAGGCATTGTCTTCGAGGTTGTCCTAGAAGTCGTCCTCTAAGCATCGTCCTTGAGGTCGTCCAAGAAGTCGTCCTTGAGGTCGTCCAAGAAGTCGTCCTTGAGGTCGTCCTGGACGTCGTCCTCTAGGCATCGTCCTAGACGTCGTAAAGCCAACAGCTTCGCTGGTCCTCCATCTTCACGTGAAGTGGAAGGGCTCTACATTTTTTTTCTTTCTCTTTCGTATGAAAGTATTTTAATAAGAGCTCTGTGCCAAGCTCAGATATTTTCCGCAAAGCACAAAAAAGACACCATGGTGGGAAATATGCTTCCCATGGCCCAGCAGCTGCTAAAAAAATAGTCAAACAATTTATGTTATTGTTAAAGAGAGGGACTGCAGAAGCTGAAGATAATTTTTGTGCAACTCAATGTACTCTCTTCTTTCTCAAAGCCATATAGAAACGGAAATATTTGTTTCTTCCAAAAACTGAAGCTCCGAAAGCTGCGTGGGATGCTCTTAGGCCTAGGCAACCATACTTCCTAATTTGACAAATACCGAGAAAGTTACTTGTGGCACTTGTGCTTTCAAAATATTCAGATTCATTCGATTGTTCAGAGCACCTGATTTGTAAGTTAGAAGATTACATAGCTTGTAAAGCTCTGATCATCAGCAGATACCAGAAGCCAGCCTCACAAAAACAAAGGCCTGCAAATGCTGATTGCGGGAACGTTTCGGAAACGTGTAGCTTTGTTTTTACACCTCGAGATAGCAACAGTATCAGTATATATTTTCTTTTATGACATGACCTCTGCTAGATGGTGGAATGGTACAATGGTGGGAATTCGCCTTCCCTTGAGCCCAGTACAGATCAAGTGTGGGTGGAAAGTATATATCCCACTGCCCATGAAAGGGCTAAATGGGAACAGGAACCAGGCTTTACAAGATACTCAAAAAAAGTATTTAACTTAGTTTTTTAGAGTACTAGGTTGAAAAGTAACTGAGTAGAGTCTAAATAGTTTAAAAAAGTCACTCGTTACTTGTAAGATAGTTAATTCTACAATTTACTGTTAAACCATTACCGTAAAATACTAGGGAAGCGTCCACCCCACTTTCACTGAAAACTGGGTTAATCTAGACATGGGTGCTTGTCCGGTCAAATCGGCAAAAACCAAGATGGCGGCTAATAAAGAGCTTTGAAGGCAGGGTGAACGAAAAGAGAAAGCACATTTCTTTTCATACGATACCCCCTTATCGCCCGCCACTGGCGGTCTCGTAGCCGCCGCAACGGGATGAATATTTTTGGCTGATGCCGGCCCTTTGTAGGGGGTGGGTGCTTAAAAGGAGACATGGGTTTTTGGAGGCAAAACGTTCCTAAAACTTCACTCTTTTGAAAACGGTGATGTTGACCCCTACAGCAATTGCTTTTTTTAATCTACCAGGTTTCTAGTTTCGTGGATGAATATTTGAGCTATAAATCTATTTATAATGTCTATTCAGGCTGAATGTGCATTGAAGTCGACTCTAAAACACCGTTTTCACAAAACACAATTTTTTTACTTGTTGAAAATTTGTAAAACGAATATCTCAGCATCTAGAGCAGACAGAAAGATAAGTTTTCCTGAAACATGTAGCTAAATGTGTGAAGCATGCAATGTTCAGAGCAGATTTCTTAATATAGGTTTAAGAATTTTTTAAATTGATCTTTTGTTTTATTATCTGTTAGCCACATGTTGAACATTGAACTTGAATGTATGATAAAATCACTAATAATGGATTAATCTTAAAAGTGCTTCCAACATTGTATTCTTTACACTTCATAGTAGTGTTAAAGAGGATATTTTGTTGAGTAGATTTTCCTTATTGCTCCTCCAAACAAAGGCAGGTGAGGTTTAATTATCTTGAAGACAATTCTACAGACTGAGAAAATGACCTGATATTTGAAATCAGCAAAAAAAGCTGAATAAGGTTGTGCAGTTTCATTGCGTTTGGTCATAAAACAAGAAAAAAAAAAAAAATCTAAGACCAGAATTCCCAAGTATGAAAAATGTTAAAGGGGCACTCAAGTGGTTTTTGGGGAAGCTACTTTTTGGTGCGATGGCGTTAAGGAAGTGTCAGTGAATGAGTGTCTTCAGTTTTACAAGGCAGAGCCGCCTATTAATCACGCAGGAATAAAATATGTGCGGACTATTTTCTGTTCCTGCGCTGACCAATGAAATTATCGTATGTTTGAAAATTCTGGCGGCCTTTGTGAAGTTTCGCTAAAGGAACAATTTTCAGTTCAATTAGATATGTTGTGCATGATAATTTCACAAGACGTAAAATAGTTCTAGTTTAAAATACGCGATACTGCAATTCTCGTTTCCCAAACAAGGGACTACGTTTTCTCCTTGCATTCCTCCGCGGGAGGTGAATTTCCCGTTCCCTCGGGATGCGTGGAAACGCACGTATCATGAACTGCAAACATGGCGTCAGTGGTACTCGTCGACGTGGACGGCGTGGTGAAAGCTCATCGTTCCGCGTAAAAGCGCTATCCTTGACTGTGAATTTTCGTCGCGTGTCGCTATGATAACCCAGCACATACTAGAAGGGAAGATCCACCTACTCATGCGGCGATGTCGTGGCGGCACTCTCAAGACAGCAGAAACGCCCGTGCCGTCGTGTTTGTTTACTTCGACTACAGTGGTGCTTTCTAAGCATTTGTGTCCTCGAACATCGCCCGGATTTCTTATTTCGCGGGTTTCATGCATGTGCTCATGTTCAAGGTATTACTGGCGCGTACCGTATAAAGGATACAAATTTTCACGCATTTTCATCACCGGAAAAAAGTGATTAGTGTTAGCGATCCTGAACGCTCGCAACGTCTATCTGATCACGAAGTCATATTTCTACATTGCTATATCACTGCTAAGATTACATCGTCTTTTATAATCGTAAAAAAGCATGTGGCGATATTTGTACTATTGGCAAAGTCGTGTATTAGAGTCATGATCGTCTAAGACAGTGTGCTGCACCTTTTTCTGTTCTTTTTTCATCCACTGTGCCCTGCAAGCCTACCATGAAAAAAAAAATAAAGCTTTAGGCTATAGAAAACTGTCAGTCTATATTCTGTTACGGCATTGAGTGGCAGTGCGTCCCCTTTCTAGAGGCGCCGCTGAAACAGCTGACGGCGGCGTAGAAGCGGTCGCCGTGCTGACGACCCGCTGCACTTGTTGCAGTGATTGCGGGTGTAGGTACGCGCGGCGCAGAGCAGTCGTTCCGGTCGCTCCGGTTGCAACGGACGCAGTCGTAGGAAACGCGCTCGTTGCAAACATCTGAACCAGCCTCCCCCGTCCTCCCGAAGCGAAAGTCAACGTGGCGACATCGTTTGACATCACGTACCAGAGGTTACGCTGGTATGCCAAATGTTGGTTTGGTTACGACTTGCCCTAATCGCAAATCGAAGAACGCCCGAAAAGGTCTGCGTTTCGTCGTCCTCGGAACCCGAATACGACTCCGAAGCGCTACTATTGTCCACATCGCACGTCGGAGTGGCGTCATAGGAAATCATCCCCAGGTCGGCTGTCCGCCCGAAGAATTTCAACCTCTAACGGCGTCAGGTCCTCGAGCGTCGAGAACTCCGCCGTGATCGAAGCTCGCATGACAAAGAAGTTCGGCCGGTGCGGCTACCTCGGGATCGCTGCGCCGCTGCGCGACGGAACGTCGTTCAACGCCATTGGCCCGAGATTGTTTTGATATGCGTGCGATGACCAATGAGAGTGGTTTCGTTTTCGGATGGATCTGAGGTTTGGCGGCCTTCAATTACATTTTTATTAAAGAAATAATCACCGGATGACTATATTTTTTGGTTTTTAGGGATACTTAGGGAGTCTAAATTCAGTTGTCATCATCAAAACACGAACTCAAAAACCACTTGAGTGCCCTTTAGTAGTGGGCCCTTGTATGAAGTGGGCAATTCTGCAATACTTCACAAGTACCAAAAAACGCCATTACTAAAATGCAATCTTGGGCTGCCTCTCTCTCCACATTATGTTGCAGTCTGTTTTTTGCAACTTGAATCCAACAACCTTTTTCCTTTTTCAACACATCTTCTAACGCTAAACAGGTGCTCTGCGGATGATGTATTCAAAGGTTGGAAGGAAAAGCTTGCATTGCACCGGTAGTTTCTTCTCTGTTTCGCTAACACATTCAAACATTTCTAGTAAATGTTGCCATAACAGGACTAAAGCTGTTCCCTGGCTTTTGGGCTGATGCCAAACATGGAAACCCATTCAAGAAATGACAGAGACAAAATCTAACAAAGATGTTTCCTAAGTACATTGGTCATAGCCCATGTTAAGTTAGAGACTTATTTTGTGTAGTTTTGTTGTACATTCCTGTCTGGGAAAAAAAAGTGTTCGCCAAGGGGGAATTTCCTTTGACGCCGCTCGGGTTAACTTGTCTTCGCAGGGATCATGTTTTGTCTGTCTGGTGCAGTCTGCTGTTATTACAGTACGCATTGGGCGAGAAACTTGAGTAGTACAGTCCTTCATGCCACACCTCTGCTCCATCATGTCCGCCCTCTGAATGCGTGCATCTTTGCACGTACGCCGTATGTGTTGTCTATATGAAAAAGAGAAATCACTGGTGCATTTACAAACTGAGCAGTAACTTGCGAGTACAAGTTACTTGCAAAAAGTATTAAAGTTAGAGTAGTAAATACTCACCTTCAAAGGTTTTTGTAACAAGCTACTCAAAACACATTTAAGATACGGTAACTTGAGTAGAGTATTTAAGTTACCGTACATACAAGTCTGGGAACAAGACACTTTTATTGTTTGTTTGCAACTACATCATCGAATGATATGCTACATTTTTTCCAGCAACTGGACATTCAGGTCAGGTTTAATGAAGAACCCAGAAAATCTAATTTCAGTTATATGCTGCCTTTGACACTGGCATCAATAAAGCAGTGAATGGCTGAAAAAACATTCAATGCAATGCTATGTTGGGAAATGAATTGCATTCTGCCCTAGTGTGTTCACAGCTCAGTGCATTCTATATGTACCCTTTCCTAAGCATACGGTTTGTAGAGTACCATAATATCCTGAGAGATAGCCCACCTAGAATCGAAAGCAAATCGGGTGAAACTGAAGGGTGGGCTGGGCTAACTTTCGATGTGCAATCAAGAAAAGTTGAAAAAATGCTAGTTCTAGATTTTGTGACCAGCGAAACTTGTAATCGCAGGGAGGCGCGATGAACAAAAGACGACTGCCCTTCCCAGTCAGCAATGTTCGCTTGTCTCCTGCTGTGGCTAAGCAACACCATTTCTCCCAAGGTCACCATTGGCCAGGGCCCTGCAATTACTAGAAATGAAATATTGTTCGGTGTTTTAAAAAAAAAAAAAAAAGGAAATCATGCCAAAAGTATGGTTGGGTTATCTTTTGGGGGTGCGGCATCTCTCGGGACATTACGGTAATGCTTGTCAGAGTATAGATGTTCCTGACATGTCTGAAACAAACCTGCACAAATGAAGCAACATCCTTATTTTTGATGGATCGTAATACGGCTGCATGCAATACAGCGTGACCTGATGTTGTATAGCTGCAAGCCCTTGCACATAATTAGTAGGGCAGTCCCAGACGCAGACGTTTGAGAGTGGCCTGTTGATCTTTTTTGTAACCATTATCTTATGTGTATGAAACTAATATTAACAATTCTTGAAAGCAATAAAAATGACTTGCCTGCTTTTGGCTTGGCTTCAAGGGCAATTGTCACTGCTCGGTCAATGAAGTCTATCACCTTGTGGAAATCCTTCTCTTTGAAGTTTCTAGACGTCAGCGCAGGAGCTCCTAGTTTCGTTTCAATTCCATGCACACAACAAAGAGAGAATCCAAAACAACAATTAATCCAACTCCTCCTTCATTACTTTAGGTCTATATTTATAGGGTAACTGAAGGACGAGCAGTTCTGGCAAGGCTGTCACAATCTGTCCCAACTTTTACAAGTTTCAGAAATATTTGTAGGCCCAGCAAGATCCTCCTCAACAACTAATTCCATAGCTTCCCCAAGTGCCTTATACTGCAGTTAAAGACTCCTGTTTTTGTCCCTGCTATTAGTGGGCTGGCAAATGGTTTACTCCGGGTTCTACCCAGAGCTACATGCATATGTATTATACAAGTTATCCAACTGCCCCTCTCTCCACATTATGTTGCCACGTTTCCTTGCAGTACAGAGCTGCACTGTGAGAAGGCACACACAGCAGCACACAAAGCAAAAGACAGCCCACAAATTCTAAAGTACAGTTACTTATTTTCTGGCTTCCCAGAAGATTGTAGACCTCCACCTGAAAATCACTGCCACTTTAAAGGGATACTGAACTGAAATTTGGATTTCGCAAAGTAAGGCTGCAGAAGTGTTGAACGGGACGCTACAAACTCCAAAACACCACTCGTACATCGATATCTCAACCCGATGGCCATACTTTTTGAAAAGAAGGGCGCGATCAAGCGAGTTCTTTGATGTAACTGTCCTCCGGGAGAATTTGAGAATGAGGAGAAGCGGCCTCGCTTCTCTCCTCCTCGCTTTGGTTCACCAGCTTGACGGGACGTAACGAGGAGGAGAGAGAATGGGAATCGTGACGTGCCTTGTCTCGTCGGCCGGGTTCAATCGAGCACTTCTTTTCCAAAAAATACGGCGATCCGTAAGATATATCGCCGTACGAGTGATATTTTCCGGTTTTGTAGCTTCCCGCCTATCCGCCCGGCCTTGTTTAGTGAGCTCGAAATTTCGGTTCAGTATCTCTTTAAGGTCTAACCCCATGCTTTTGCTTCAGCTCACGAGGTCAAAGGCCTTTCAGCTCCACCCAGAGATTGCTGGCAGTACAGAGAGACCCCGAAGACTCCAATCAAACACAAACATGCAGTGGACGTTGTTTATGCATGACCAAGGTGCCAAAAGGTTTTTATAGCAATAGCTTCATATGAGAACCCTGCACAGATTTTGCTCGCACGTGTTCGTCCCCGATACCACGACTTGAAACTGCAATGTCAATTTCCCCGCCAACGGGGCCACCTATAACTTGCCCGAACAGACCACAGATGATGAGAAGCATGGCGGAACCCCCAAGTACTGTCAGTATTTGACACGAAAATAAAATAAAATATTGCATCATTGTTAGCAATAGGAAGTTTCGAAAATTCGCACGAGCCTAGCATAACGATCCAGTAGTACGACGGGGCCCGAGCTATTGGTTTTAATAGTGAGAAAGCAAAATTAACCTTCGGTGACAGTAATTCCTTGTATTTGGGTAAAATGTAGTGGGGTAAGCCCTTTGGTGCAAATGGTGCAGCAATCACATCACTGTAATATCCATTGACATTACATCAGTCTCGCTGGTTAGAACAGCAGACACTAGTCATAATCTACGTTCTGCAGTAGGAGTATCTGCGTTGTGCATACCACTTTTACAACAAACTGATATCTTCATCACTATCAAGGTCTGTCTAAACTCGTTATAACAGACCTTGACTTTGACAGAAATTCTGGTCTGTTGTAATAGGAGTATGTTGTATGCAGATATGAAGTTGAGTCAATGGTATGTAGAGGAAAACCAACCAAACTTCACAAATCGGTATGTTAAATCCAAGTGTCTGTTGTAACCAGGTCTGTTGTAATGAGCTTAGACTGTAATGAGTTTATATTGGCCAGATGTCGGCCTGGGGAGATGCTCGAATCGGAATCCGTACCGAGGCGTATCCCTCCGGGCACCAGGGCTGACTTGTCGCCGGGGCAGGTGTTCTTGTTGGCAGTCAGGTTGCACTCGTTCATGACGGACTCCAGCCGTGCACCATCAAGACCCTTGGGACGCAGGTCCAGCAGGAGCAGATGGTTGTCCGTGCCTCCTGCAGAGGGGCCGGCCAATCGCAGGTGTCACAAAAAACAGTGCTCTAGGTTTATTTGCAAAGCTGAGTACAACTAATTGATGACTTGCAAGGGTGAAAATGATCAAATACACGAGAACAGATAGTTGAGGGAAAGAAAGGCTTGATATGTAGACCAAAAATTTTGAGCAGATGCCGCCATTCACGCAACGACAAAAAAACAAAGAAGGAATGTTGTGGAGCTAGTTGAAAATGTGTGCCTACCCAAAATGTCCATACACTCTGGTTCCCATTCTGTTGTGTGGTTTTTCCTCCTTGTTTGTTTTATCATGCACCGTCCTCAAAAATAGCTTGTCTATGGTAACTAAACAGCTGCTTGGAGCCATACCAGATGACCAGAACCAGAGTAAGTTGTCTGTTAGACATTTTTCAGAAGGGGTGCGGAATAATCGCTCCCTCAAGGTGTTTCTGTCCTGCAACTGTCTATTTGCCACACTGCAACCGTGATGTGGGAGAAGTGCACTCAATCGAGACGAGCAACCAACATACGAAACCAGTTTGCAAGAATTAAAATTACAGTCTAAGCTCATTACAACAGACCTGGTTACAACAGACATTTGGATATAACATGCGCGCGATTTGTGAAGTTCGGTTGGTTTTCCTCTACATACTATTGACTCAACCTCATATCTGCATACAACATACTCCTCTTACAACAGACCGAAATCTTGGTCAAAATCAAGGTCTGTTATAACGAGCTTAGACTGTAATCTGTAGAATTCAATTCCAACGTTCAATGGGACACTACATTTTCTGCTGAATCGATCAAAGCAGATACGTAAGACATTATGCTCACAGCAATATTAACTCCCTTTAGTGAATGCTCTCCACCAGATTTATTATGTTTTGGTGGGAAATGAGCATGCTTTTCAGGTTCAGTCCCTAATCTGGGGAACATACCAGGGATCATGTTTCTTTCTGTGGGAGGTCGCGACTCACTATACCTTGAAGGAACAATGGTTGCTGGCGACTGCAAGAAAGTTAATTTCCTCAAGTGCACGGTAATCGTCCTTCTAGTGGCGGTCAAACAACGAACAACTAGCTCCCTTTGTAAGTTTCAATGTGTTACAGGGCCAATTTTGACCTCTCTAAATTATGAGAAAGTGTCAAATTGCAGCTAAATTTTGGAGGAAAATGTGTTCGTTAGTGTTGCCTTAGGTTATGCACCCGCCCACCCCCTTTCTCCTTCCCCTTTCCCTCCCCTCCCCCCCGCCCCCACACACACACAAACACATGTATACGGACTGAGCAAAAACACATTCTGCATAATTCTGACTATATGCAGGATTAAGCTGTTCTATTTTTAGCGCACTATGCAATTTCTTTTTCAGCCAGCCACAGTGCAGCAACCATTCTTGAACTCATACAGATGAGCAATAAAACAATTCTAGAATAAAAAATGAATCGAGCAACTATGCATGACACAATGGACCACATAAGATGTCACTAGACATTTTATGAAGGCAAGTCTAGTGCGAGCTTACAACAGTAAACTTGCACTAATTTGAACACACCAAATTCCACTTTTTGGTTAATTTGCTCATGTTCAAAAGTTTCGGCGGAAACCCATACTTATTAATGGGGAAAAAAATATTGTTAACTGGAATGTAGAAAGACCTTGCACATAAAAATTCTACCCGAGCGAATGCATGTGGGTCGTGTTGCACGGTTCTCACCATAGTGGAAACTCCGATTCAAAGTGCCCTTGACTGGAAAAACTGCTACAAAGCCGAGCGTGTGCAAATACCTTTTCAAAATTGCAACAGAAAAAGTCTACCCTTGTCTCACATTCTGGGCAGTGGCATGAAAACTAGAACAATCGGGTAATAATCGGTCGCTGATGCCACCATATTATTGTTTTGCTTCTACCCTTCTGCTGCTTCAATCAATGCTGGACCGCCGTTCCTAGAACTGAAGCGAGTGAAAATCGAGGAACACAGCGAGTGTATACAGTGAAACCCGTTTAGAACGAACCCACGTACAGCGAATTATTGTTGATATCAAACTCACGGAAAATTTTAATAAAAATGCATGCAACAGGTACTTTTTATAACGAACAACATATTGGCTACATCAAACCTTTCCCCTCAGGAAGGCTTTCAAAAACACGCAAAGAATTGCCTTCTAACCTGCCCCTTCTTCTTCTTCTCCTCCTCCCCCCCCCCCCCCCCCCACAAAAAGAAAAAAAAAAAGAAAAAAGTGGGAGAAAATTCTAAAAGCTCAATTTGCAAACAAAATTGACCAAAGAGAAGTGATTCAGAAGAGGAGAAAGCTAAAAAATACCCTCTCCAAGCACACACAGAAAAAAAAAAAACTTTTCATTCCAAAACGGTCAACCACGAAGAGAAAAAAAAAAATGTTTTCAGCGCGTTGTTACAAGGCGGAAACGAAGAGGTGAGAAAGAAAGAGAAGCTCTCGCCTTACAACGAACTCATCGAAGAAGTTTGCTGTAAATGGTTTTTGCTATATCGAATTACTTGCTATATCGAATTACTTGCTATATCGAACTGATCGTAGCATTTTCTGCTGTTCGGTATAAACGGGTTTAACTGTACGAAGAAATGCACGGCAACCTCGCAGAGCTACGGGTGTTCGGCGCAGTCGAGGAAAACCTGCGGTATCCGTGAGGCCCAAAACAAACAAATCCTCACAACCTGCAGCAATGTGAAAGGACTTTGTTTTTTCTAGAGAGGCTGCAGGTTCGCATGTTTTGTACATAACATGCTTTCAGGTGCATGTTGCAAACAGCAAGAAATGACCATGGACTACTTTATAGGGATGGGCGAATATTCAGTTATTACGAATAGCCAATCGAATTCTGTTCTATTCGGCATTTGCTTCGAATCGAATTTAAGTATTCAACAATATTGAATTATTCGACAATATAGAATTATTCAACCTTTCTAAATACAGTCAAACCCGAATATCGAACCCGTTTACACCAAACTATTCCTCATATCAAACAATTTTTTGTGCACAGTAATGTTAGTGATAATATATAGCAAAAACTATGGTTGCATCGAACAAAAATAGCAGCCTCTACCGATATATCAAACTGCCAAGGGCGCCAATTTGCTCTGCAAGCTGGCTTTCCCCTACCACAAGCGCCCTCATTGGGGGAAAACCAGCTTGCAAAGCACGCTGGCTTTTTTTTTTTTTTTTTCTGGGCGGTCGCGTTGATTGCTTGGAAGAAAAGAAAAAGTATGTTTTTCGGAAGGAGCGGAGAGAGGGTGCTCCGTGCTCCCTCTCCCGCTCCATCCGCAAAAGAAAATCTTATTTTTTCCTTCAAATCGTTTGAAGGAAAAAATATTTTCTTGATGTAACTTGACATAACGTGACCGCCAAAACGAAAAAATAAAAAGAAGCCAGCTTGCTTTGTTAGGCCCGCTTCAGACGGGGCAACTTTTCCAGCAATTTTGAGGTTGCTGGCGGGTCGTTCCCTAGCTTTCCCTAGATCGACACAAATTGCCGAGATTGGATCCGGCTCGAAACAGACGAGCAACTCGAACAACTCGGAGCCGTTTGAAGCGGCAGCAGCCAATCAGGGACGCAATATTTTCACGTGACATCCCTGTGGTGGTGATGATGACAGCTAAAGACTTGGTTCTGGTTTGAAATCAATCGTTTTTGGAAATAAACCTTTTCAGAAAGATTAGTTAGTATTCTCCACGCCATTCAAAGATATAAAAACATGTTTTTAGCGCGTAGCTGGGCGTCTAAATAGTGCAAGAAAATTCAAAGTGAATGATGATGATAGCAAGTCGTAGCAATTCGGTTGCTGCGTGTGAACACGAACGGCCCGTGTTGCTGTACGTTGCGACGTCAAGCGGGCCTTAGCTGGCTTCCCCCAATGCAGCGACCTGTTTTAGGGGAAAGCCAACTTGTAGAGCAAAACGGCGCTCTGCAGGAGAAGGTGATCCTGCTAGGACGTGCTCCGTGCTCTCGGCATAGTTCGGCACTAACGCGCGAATGTAGAAGACAGTGGCTTCAGCATTTTGAAGTCCGTTGATAGTGTAGAAAAATATCGTTATCGCCAATGCAATGAAAAAAAGCAGCAGAAGATGCGAGACTACTTCATTGTGTAATATTTCAGCAGAAAGTGAATTTTTGAGAGTCAAATTCATTAAAACTTTTATACTGAACTACCCGCTATATCGAACTCGCAGACATTTTTTTGCGAATTCGATATAAACAGGTTTGACTTACTCTGGCTTGGATTTCCGGCCAGGTGGTGCAAGCTTCCGACCATTTCGTGCTCCCGAACTCAACATACTTGAAATTAACAATTACAGTACTTCTAATACCAAATAAGGGCAAATATAAAACTATAGTTGAAACATATCTTGTGGTATTTGTTGCTTGTACTATTCAAACTATTCGATTCAAAATTATTCGGCCAAAATCACTATTCGCTTCCAATTTGATTCGGACCCGAAAACCTCTATTCGCCCATGCCTACACTTTAGGCAATAAAACCGAGTTTGACTTCGGTCATTTTCCCTCCTTTCTTTAATTAAGTCTTTGGATAATTTGACTGAATTTCAAGGCCCATTGACGTCAAATTAAGACAAATTTAGTATGTCGTATATTCCTTTACCTGACACTACTGTATATCCTTTTGCCAGCAAAGCTGTCACCATGGCCTTGGCATTCTTCACGACCTGCTCCTGGTACGCACGAAAATGGGGCGTAGTGGCCTGCAAAAAAACAGAACCACAGCAAAAAAGAACCTGGAGACGAATAAAGATAAATGCCATATTCCCACTTTACACTTCAAAATAATTGCGTCTAATATTTCATTTAATATCGTTGAGTTCCGAGTTGGCATGCGCATATAATGGATTTTGAGATCGAAGTGAATCGTGGTTTTGGCTAAATGTTTTCTAATTGAATACTGAATAGTTTCTCTCAGCCTTTAAATACTGCACCAAGTTTAAGGGGGGACATACCGTAAAGTTCCGAAAGAACGCCCACCCTAAATGAAGAGATAAATGGGAACAAAAAATGGTGTGAGCTATCTTTGGGGATGCCACAGCAAAACTTTATTAAAAATTAATGATAAACACCGGGGCACTTGCTACAAACCATGAGACGCGGAAACCTACTTCAGATCGCGGACACAGCCTATTCACGTTTCACAATAAGATAAACACACGGGAATTTGCTACAAACTTCTGTGTCACGGGAAGAGATTCCGCAGGTTGCGGACGCAGCAGATTCGTGTTTTACCGTGCGAAGAACCCGCGGAAACCCGCCGAGAACTCGCATCTCAAGGGAATGAATACCACAAATCACGGACACCGCAGATTACATTTTTATGGTGCAATAAACCTGCAGAAGCAAGCTCCGCAGGTTTTGCTTCTCTAAAGTGTGTACCTCTGCTCGGTAAGAAGTTCAACGTGGCTCACCCGCCGCGATGAACACTTCGAAACAGATGAATATCGCAGTTCATCTAGAAGCAAATATCAAATAACGTGTTATTTGAAACAACTATTCGTAAATTCGAATATTTGCACAATCCTAGTTTTGAGACGTTGGCATATTATTCCAACCACTATACCCTGTGGCAGAATAAGAAAAGCAGGACATGCCCCTTCCACAAAGCCCTCCACTTTAGCAGAGCAAACAATAGAGTGGAGGCGAGTGCCTTTTCGCCTTCTGTACAGTGTTTTTTCAGTAGGGGTTATGACACGTCAAAAATAAAATATGAGATAACGGTACTGCTAGGACCCATTGTATGTTCCTATAATCCTGCTAAATTTGTTTTGAAAAAGGCGCGATAATTTCGTGGATAAATCGATTTATATGCGGGCCCCTCGGAGGGGCAGATCCGGGCGGACCTGGAGGCCGATGACGTAGACAGCCTCCAGCGCGGTGTCTCCTTGCACGCACTCACAGTCTTGGCTCTCTTGGCGTATCGAGCAGCTTCCTCGTTTACCTTCCACGTTTCGAGCATGCGGTCCGTGACGATTACGTCTACGGCATCGCTCGCCTTGTCGAAGTGTTCGACATTGATCGCAGCAGCGATGAAAGTGATTGCTATCAAGAGGTGTTGGAAGCTGTTCATTTTGACTGCGACCCGCTGGCGACCAGCTCCAGCGACGACGAGTAACGGACGAACTTGCCGAGGTCACCGTTGTCCGGGAATATCTCGCAGGCGCATGCAGGGTGGAGGGTCAACGGGCTGGGGGTGAGAGCGAGAATAGCTTTCGGGTTACCGAGTTGTGTGAGCGGTTTTGATTGTACCGCGACGAGGAGAGCTTGAGCAATCATGGGGGCGCCTAGAATGAGAGAGTGTTCATGGTCATGTGGTTTATGGACACCATGGTGTGACTAACTTGGGCAGTGTTGCCTGGTCGCCAGATGAAAATGATAAAAATTCGTAAATTGAATATTGCTATTACCAGAGCTCTAAAAATCGCGTAAATTGATGTATATACTAAGTAGCCTATGAGCGTTCTATTTCAAGAATAATCTATCCGTTTAATTTTCATGTCATAACCCCTTTAAAGAGGAAAGAGTAAAGGGCTTTGTGAGAGAAGCTTGGCCTGCTTTTCTTAACATGTAACAGGGTGTAGATCTACAATATGGTGGGGTCCGAGCTTTTAGCAATACTGTATTTATTCGCATAATGAACGCACCCCCACAACGGGTACCAATATTTGGACTCTTTTTTTCCCCTCGCATAATCAACGCACCTCTAATTTTTGGCTCTGCAAGTCTCGAATTGCATCCAATTTAGCTAGCCACCAAACCAATTTTCTTTCGCCGCCAAGCGGTTAGGTCAGGTCATGTCAAGCCAACCTGCGCTCTCATAATGGCTGCAAGTGCGTAGTTGCGGAATTGATCAACCGTAAAACCGAGCGGCGTACACACTTGACGAGGCTTGGGTTGAGAAATTGCCCAGCCCCAGACATTCTTCACTTATTGAATGCATTGATGTCAACAAACACGCCGTCGTCTGTAGTCCGCTTTCGGAGAGTAGAATCGTGTAAGTGGTTAGGCCTAATTTCACATACTCCAGGTAAATGCGTTTATTTGATCCAAAACAAAACGGCGCAGCGAGGTGCAGGCTGCTTCGTAGGCTGAGTGTGTCTGGTAGCCCCTGGTAACAGCAGTCTCCGTGAACGAAACTTGATCCGTACGAACGGGCCTCTGCAGTCGGCGATTGGTCTTTGTACGAGTACTTATATGGATAACTGCGGTATATACCAGAGCGCACCGCCGGATCCTAGCAATATATATCGCTTAAGAACGGTCACATTGCTTTCCGTGCTGAGTGAGCTTCGTAGGGTGCTTTTCCTTCGGCAAAAGGCATTCCGAAAGTGCCTTAAAAAGGTTCGCAATTTATAAAGCATGGTTACTGTGGCATGCCCCCGACCAGCCGTGAGGGGGCCTCCATCAGAGGAGACGTGCCACAGTATGTTGCATTGCGCATTGGCACCTAATATGACATTTGCACGAAGTGTGTAAATGCAAAAATTTGACCCCGCGTAATAACCCCCCCCTTTCCCCCTCCAAATGTGTCAATTTTTTTGGGAAAAAAGAGTGCTCATTATGCAAGTAAATACGGTATGTTTTTTTTTTGAAATGTAAAAAGCAAACTAGACCTTGCTTTTCCCACAACTATTTTGCATATAATGGATACAAAAAGGGTAACATTCTTCTAAAATTTACTAACTGTTGTTTCATGTGACCTTTTGTAACAGTGTGGGCAGCACGAAGCGCTCTGCCGACTATAATGGCACTACTGGGCAGATCGTTTGTACATTGTACCCGAGACATCCTACAGCTGTGCGATTCTATGCTTACTGCCCATAGATGGCAAATTCACACTTAGCCTGTTACGTGATGTCTAGGACTAAGCACCTTAGCAAGAAAGCAAAGTTTTACACAAGCACAAACATTGGTGCAGCACTGGCGATACACACACCTGCTTCAGTGCAACAGCCACAGAGGCAATGGCATGGTTGTGAGGTCCTCCCTGCAGAGCTGGGAATACTGCAAAGTTGACCTTAGACTCAAAGTCGTACATGATCTCCTTCCCTTTCTTGTCCACCTCCTTAAGGCCTTTGCGGAAGAAGACGAGACCTGCTCTGCAAAGCGAATACAACCATAGAACGTAAATAGGTCTGATGTATGTCTGATGTCCAGTAGTCAGCACCGCTGCTGTCAGAGTTTTGCAGCCATTCATTAATTCATCATTACTGCAACTGTGACTGAATGGTTTCTGGATAGCAACCATATTCCAAAAGACATGGAAAATGAGAGCAAACACTTGGGTTTGAAACATAATATTTGGAGGAAAACGAAAAGAATGGCCAGACACGTTGAGGTCTTACAAATGTTAGTCAATCCTTGATACTCAGTTGTGGATCAGAATTCTCGCTAGACTCATGTATATTTGCACCAACACACACTGTAAAGAATGTTTGTATGAAGAGAAAAAGACTGATTGCCACCACATATCAATATATTTTGCTTTGAGAAGTGGTTGGCTGTATAGGTCGTGAAGGGGGGGGATGGGTGCATTTCCAGACAAGTCCAGACAAGTAGAGCAAGAGAAATAACCTAAGCTACCTGTGAAGTGATATACAACGAATTCCTGAGGCCTTGTTTCTCATCCTGAGGGACATTTGGAATGATTCTGGCTGTATTCACACTGTCTTACGGCCATTAACAGGTGGAATGAGCCAAGGTGTAGTCTGTTGCCGACTTGCCTTGAACCCCTGAGTGTCTTATGGGTGGTGGTTGTGACCAGGTCAGCATATTCAAAAGGCGATGGGATCACTTTTGCCGCCACCAACCCGCTGATGTGAGCCATGTCAGCCATCAGGATTGCCTTGACATCGTCACACACCTGGTGAGGAGCAGAGGCATGCCATGTTTATAAACCACAAGGACAGAAAATTCTGGAGGGCCCTCAGAGGGCTCCAGCTTAGAAAACAAGGGTAAAGATATACTGTAAATTACCGATGAAGCACCCACCCAAAAGTTTATTAATTCATTCATTTATGTGAATACCTACATCACCTTGAGGCACATTACAGTAGGCTGGGCATGCACATAAAAAGATAAACAGCACATTACAACAGAATACAAAAATAACCAATAGATAAAATACAACGATTTTAGGAGTGGAAGCATTACAATATTGTAAAACAAAGTTTACATATACACTTGCAGATTGTTGAAAAACAGCTCTGACAATGGTATTTCAACAATGTCACTGGGCAGCATATTCGTCTTCGGTAGGCTGTGAAAAAAATTTAACATTTAGATACGTCAATTCCACACTTGAATGAAGAAATTCTTTTTAAAATTATCCCTCCAATGTGGCATGCTGGTAGGTTGGAGATAATGTCCAAAAACTGGGGGATGGGTGCTTGTTAGTTCCGGAAGCGAAAATGCAGAAGGGGCGCAAGGTAGGGCGGGCTTGACCGCTTAGCATTCGCAATCGCATCAGCTGTTTGAAGAAACAGCCGATGCAAAGGAGCACAGTGCCGCACGTTGCTTGCATATTAGAAAGAAGCATACTAATAGACCACTTTCAGAAGCAAGTGCCATCTATTGGAGACTCGAACGAAATTAACAGCACCTAGTGGCTAGAACAAAAAGCTGTGGCGGCAGGTTTGCTTGCCAGGCTCCTCGAGCGAATCAGATATTCACAGCACCTGGCGGTCTGAAGACGAAGCCGTGAAAGTAGGTTAAAAAAAACATGCCATGAAAATCGCTAATACTTCGTTCACCCCTAACGTGACAGTGCACTGGAAGCTACACAGTCGCTGGACCAGTCACGCACCTATCTTCCACTACATGATAACGCTCCTGCCCATACCCACATGCAGAGAGCGGGGTGAGGTGATGAAAGGGGAGGCAGCTGATTGGTCCAGTGAGTGTGTAAAGTCCGCCGTACTGTCAGCTTAGGGGTGATTGGACTACTGAGGTAGTTCACATTCTACATCAGGGGTCTCAAACTCACTGGAGTGTGGGGGCCAGATAACCCACCCGCAAAAGGTAGAGGGCCAACACAAGGGGGAGGGGGGGGGGGTGGGGGAGTTCAAAAGATTTTAAAGAGGAGGGACCTTGTGCTCTATGCGTTTTGTAAACATACAGTTTTGGCAGTGACACCTTTCGCTTTGATTTGTTTATAAGACTACTTTGGGCCCTGACCTGATGTGACAACAACAATTATCATTGGACCACCCCGCCAACATGCTGCTGTTTTTAATAGAACAAGAAAGCAAGCACATTGTAATTCCAGTTGTTCAATTCACTCAAAAATAAATCGTCAAAAAAAAAAAAAAAAGTCTTCATACAACATTTTTTGGGTTTGAGACGACTTTTATAACCGTCTGAGAAAATACCTTCATTTTAATAGTGATACTTTCTGAAGGCAAGAAACTCGTGCGCATAGCTTTATTTTTGGCAGTCACTCCTGTACTGAGCGAGAGTTAAAGCGGCTGAGGTGCGTCCTTGAGCGAAGAGCTCGCGCTTGCAGTAGCGCAATTGTTGTACAGGTGCTTAACATGAAAAAAAACTGTGACTCAAAAACTAAAACGACACACGAGGCAAATAAAAAGAGAACAGTATAAACTATGTGAATACAATAAACGAGCAGTGCTAATTATGAGTGGAAATTGTAGACGATGCTAATGTAGCGACCGATTAGATATGAATTGTGGCGCCACGTTCGGGTTTTGCGACTGCATTCTTAAACGATGTGCGGAATGAACCGGGGGCTTTTTTCGACCGGGACACATGGCTGGCGGGTCCGCTCACCCTGGCCACCCCGGCCGCTTGCAACTGTGCCCTGCGCTCTCGAGCCTTCTTCAGAAATGAATCGGCGACATGAGACAACTATAGTGCATGCCATTTCTAGCGCTGAAGACATGCAAATGGGGGCTCACAGTCGATCGACTGTAGGCTGCGTCCCAACAGGTCGCGGGCCACATGCAGCCTGCGCCGCGTGTTTCGAGTCGCCTTTTCTATATCAACTGTAGCAATGGTACCACTGAACACCAGAATAGGACACCAGTCAATGATAGTTCAAAGACAGAGTATATGCATCCCTTTGGATTAGTACATTAAAGGCAATTCCCATTGCCTTTAATATAAGCGTCTTAACTCTTAACTTTTGCTTACAGCTGCACGCAGCAGATTATCAGGGCTGTCATTAGCGAGGTGGGTTCAGTCCTGGGCAGGGTGGCTACACAGATTTCTAAAATAGGTTAATTTATTTTGTTTGTACAGTTGCAAAATGTTGCTTGGCATTGTGAAAAATGACAGGCCAAGATGCAGGGATGCCATTCAACTTATCTAGCTCTCAGCAGCATTTTGCGGAGCTACATGCTAAGAATGGACTAGTTGTGTCAAGCAATTTTAACAGGTCGTGATAAATTAAAGCACAAAATAGATCTTCAGTAGACTCTTGATAATCCAAGGTTGCCTTATTCAAACTTTCAGCTGGTTCAAAGCACGAGTGCATTCCTAGTAACCATACATATATACAAGTCTATGGAAAAAATGAGCGGCATTTGGAAGTGTAACCCCTGGGTCCGGTTAATTCGAAGGATCCTTTTGTACACTCCACCAGCCTGGTAGCTCTAGGAGCGGAAGGCCAATGATCACGCCAACAATGCTTAAAACAAAACCATGCCAGCTTTATTGCTTTCATCCACTGTCTGCGCGGTTGAGAGAGGGGTGACCAAGACTGGTTGAGTCGCCAAGCCAAGCCGAGCACGGCGGCAATCACAACCCATGGCGCCATCGTGGAGCATTGTGGGAGTTTTCTCCCTCTGCTCTGACATAAATGGAAAAGTGTAGAGGCCCTCAAAAGTGTTATATGTTGGTATGTTTTACTGGATCATTTCTTTCTTCTTTACAGCAGTTTCCAAAGAGACAGATCAATAGGGTCATACTCATGAGACACAAAGTACCAGTTGATTTATGATACAGCTCACCTCTCTGAACTTCTTGTAGTCTAACAGCCGGGAGTAAGCACTTGTTCCTGCTATGATGAGTCTGGGTCGAAACAGGCGTGCCATGTCGTGCATTTTTTCATAGTCGATGAGGCCAGTCTCTTTCTAGGAATTGAAAATAAACACCAAGAACCTTGCAAGATCTCAAGAATGTTCTGAAACATCTTGAATGTGCCACTGCAATAGTTTTGTGAACTAAAATTCTTTGGTGTTTGGAAGTCTCTAATGAAGAGAACAATAAATTTTAATGGTCAATGTAACTTCAATTGTAGTCATCACCAACTTTTTTAAAATTATATTTGGAATTTAAAAATTGTAAAGATTTCATATATCCTGGATGGACTAGAAAGTGATTTATAAAAGAGAGAGACAGTATTGGTACTTACATTTAGCTTATATCCCATTGACTCAAAATATATTGACGTTGCTGATATGCGCTTCTGGTCGTTCATGTAGCCATGAGTCAAACTGTGTAAGAGGAAAACAAGCTATCACTGTTTCTTGAAGATCAATAATTGTAAAACTGATAAAGGCCCGTTCACACTCTTGCGACTGCTTGCAACCTCTTAGACCTGGGTTCCTTAAAACTTCTTAAACCAGAGAACACACTGGCGCCATCTATTGGGAAGCAGTGTAAACTCGGCGGTCCGGCATATTTTTTTTTATTTCTCGCGCAATATCCTTTCTTTTTTGGCTCGAAAAACTTTTGTCAATGTTACAAACGAGCCTTTCTATGGGTATTACGCACATTTGACCTCGGAAATCCCGCAAAACCTTCACTTTTGTGAAATGCAGTTCTAGGGTCACCGCATAGATGGCGCCACAATGTCAGTGTGTTCCCTCATTCTAGAAACATTTAAGAAGTTGTAAGAGATCTCGTCTCTCTCAGTCGTACTCGGTCGCAAGAGTGTGAACGGGCCTTAACAGTCTTGGCAGAATCCTGCAATTTCTTTTGGGAATATTAAAATAAAAAAGGGGGACTAGTGCTATAAATGACAATATTTTTGTGGGCTAATAGTATATGTAAATTCTTCAAAGTACTGTCTTTTAAAAAAGTACACTGTGAGAATGCAATTTTGAGATCATTCATAAATTAATTAAATAATTCATTCATTGTACGTTAAGGGCCCTGGCAGAGGCATTACATAAGAGGGGGTCAACAGAAGAAAAAAATATTAATCTGGAACATTTGTGGAACATTTGCATGCAAACTAAACATCCAAAAATTCAAGAAAAAAAAATGGATATGAAAACATTAGCATACACTACAACAAACAAAAAAACAATAATAAAAAGGAAAAAAAAAAAAAATTTCTGGGTATATTTGCGATTCCAGTTTGTTGCTCACCCTCCTGCGGCGGAAACGGGAAGCACTCTAGTGAGGGTCCCCCTATTCTCCTGCTCAGCGGGCATGGCGGAACTACTCGCGATCATGGCTAGCAAAATGTCATTTCTGAATGCAAACAACACTCTTCACTGTCCCAACATAGTGTTGCAGCCGGTATGGGATTGTACCTTAGGGGGGCCCTGCAAAGACCTTTTTACTGGTTTTTAATTTGCACCGAAGCTGAGCGCACTGAACATAGTAACTTAGTGAAACTTCTTTTTTCTCAAAATTCACTTTATTTTAAAAGTTATAGGCAAATTAAAACGACAAAAGCAAGCAAAAAATAACCTCCCTCATGATGTCCTTGGTTGCTTGAGTGGCTGTGAACTAGAGGAGGGGTAGTGAGCTCAGCGAGCGCTCACGGCTGCCGCACTCCGTGTCGACGGCGCGAGAGGGCGCCACTAAAGCATGTTCTGGATAGGCTGTATGCAGCGGGCAGCCAGAGCGGCTCTCATTGCATTTGCTGCGCGATTAAACACTAATTCGACATGATACTTCATTGGCCACAAACGAGCAAACACGGGGTAAAGATCCGTTCAAAGTGGGAGCCACTTCGCGCTGCCATACCGCGAAACGGTTCAACCGCAAGACAAAGCGTCTGGCCGAAAGCCTTCGGAACGCTCGGATCCTCCTGTCCATACGACCGCAGCGCTGCCGCGTACATCCGGGACCTTTCCATGTCGGCGCCTGATCCCACTAGTTCTTTCTAGTATGCGCCGCCTTTTCCATCGCTTGGTGGCGGGTATGTCGACGGGTCATTTCTTGTTTCCGTACTTTATAAACTGCATTCGTTTCTTTTCTGACCTAAAATACTGAACAAAAACTACTTTTATAAATAATTGAAACGGTTCGTGCCACTTATATTTTGTATTTCGACTAAAAAGAAGCTTTTAGCGGCTCTGAACAGTAGTAAGCCCAGGACCAAAGACGTCACATTTTGCGCGCTTTCGGTACAGCGGGTCGCCCTTGTCGGTGGAGGAGGTTTCCGCGTTGCCCGGTCAAAATATGGCACACTGATATTTAGTTACTCTCTCTGTGCCCATTGGCTTACCCGAACCCCAAGAGACGTGGAAACTGCAAAAAAAGGTAGACGCTTAAATATGATTGCAGGGCCCCTTAAAGCAAACACAAGCGCTGTGCGTTTGCATTAGAGTTGCATGCTCCATGTTGCACATGCGTGTCATCGCCATGTGCCAATCCAAGACTGCAATTTTAGGAGTGTGGAAAACGCAAAGCTAATGCAACTACACAGTGCTTGCGCTTGCTCGTATACGAAATACTAAAACCTACTGTTTCACCGGCTTCCAACGTCAACGAAACATGCTGCGTTGAGTAGACGTGCAAGCACGTAAGCGTTCCTTCGTATTGGAAAGGCGGAGGTTAGCAAAACGACGGCACGTAACAATGAAAGTAACTAAATGTAATAAATAAATTAACAATTAAAAAACAAATTTTTTTTTTTTTTTGTTGACACTTCCCAAAATTTTTTTTCCATTTTTTGCCAGGCGCTTCATTATGGTGTCGGAGGACTACCCAATTAATATTTTGCAACAGAGTCACGTATTTTTTTAATAAAGCCAAAAAACGCAACTGCTCAAAACCGAAACCGAAACCCGACGGAGGTCGGAGAAGTGGAGAGAAGGGAGTGAGTGGCGGAAGTCACGTGGCTACACCCGACCGTGCGTTTTTTTTTTTTTTTTCTCCTCTCCGTAGCAGACGACACGACATGCAGCGGGCGATGCGGCGGGCGATGCGGCGTGCGGGAACTGCTCGCCGTGCGATTCTTTTGCAGTTATGTTTGTTCCGCTCGTTGTTTTGTACTCCAAGATGAGTTGTTTTGTACATTGAGGAGTTGGAGATGAGTAGTAAGTGCCCGTGGTGAATTTCCATGATCGGCTCCGAAAAGAATACACCCAGATGTTGCGTGAAGAGCTAGCTGGCTCACATGTCCTGCGTCCGAAAAAAAGGGGCATTGTGCGACAGAGTTTCCGAAAGATCAACGGGATCGGGAGCAATGGCTGGCTGCAATTCCTGTAGAACATATACGGGCACCTCGGAAAGCGGACGCTACCTGATTTATATGCTCCTTGCATTTTGTGGAAAGGGATTACATTGAGTTCGCAGGTTTCAAAAAGGAAATCCCATACCATTTAATTCAGCGAAGTGTTGTCCACAACATTTGTTTGTTATTTTTTTGCTTGTTTCTTCAGTGATAATTGTAAAAAAAAAAAAAAAAAGATATGTAAACATCGGAAAATGTTTGAATAAAAAGAAAAAGTTTCACGGGAGATCGAACCCGGTTCTACCGCGTGTGAAGCGGACGTCTATCCCACTGAGCTACTGGGGCATCATTCTACTGGTGGATCTCTTTCCTTAGTAATAATTTAACCGGTAAACTGTAAGTTGGAAAGTTTGCTGCCGATTTTCCTCTAGCAAAAGCACTTCCGGGTCGAAGTCGGGAAGCACCACGCATTGGCGACATTCGCACCTAGTAAAGAAATCGTACGCGTGCATATTCAACTCGAAGTAGACACGTCGTGCTTGACGCTTGCGCGAGCGATGTCTTCAGCCACGAGAAGGGAGCGACGGCTCGGCGACGTCTTCGTGCAAATCGGCTTGGTGGTCGGGCGTGCCGTACGGGATGAATACCAATTCTTTTGACCAGTCCCAAATTTCTCTTTTAAAGGTAAACAGAATTCGCCGGTACCGCGAACGACAGTTCTGAAATAGAGGTCCCACGCCCGTCGTCCGCTGCCATCGCCGTCCCCGCGAGTCCCACGACACGCGAAACGACAAACGCACAGAATCCTTTTGGTTGTCTGTGGAACTTTTTTTTTTTTTCAGTCAACGTATTTGCAGCTTTTTAGAAGCCACAAAAAATGGGTTTCATAATTTTTTCTATTTTTAATACTGAGTGTGTGCCTTCAGTGACCCACGACTTTGATTAAATTTGGTGGTCGCATCGATACCTTAGAAAACGGCCCGCGACCGCGGAAAAGAGAATGAGCGAGACTCGAACCAGCCAGTTCTTGATCGGCGGCTTTCGGGCGGAAAGAAACCGAATTTCGAGCCGCAAATTCTGTTCTGGGTAGTTGAGCTCTCATATGTCAGGTACAACTAAAAACCTCGGCGAGCATAAATGCCCTGTCAGTGGCCCTTTAACGGGGGAGGGGGGTCATTTGGTTTGAAAGGATATTGGCAGCGACTTTGGAAGTTTTGCAGATTGTCAAAAGTCATGGCTTTGATAGTGCCACATGCTTTACCCAGAATTAATGTAAATTTACATGGACTTCTCACATTAGCTAGAATGTTTTCATTGATTTTAGACCAAAGGTTCTCAAATAGGGGTCCGCGAAGGCATTTTAGGGGTCCGCGAAACCCTGCCTCATCAGCAGAGCCCGGCAACAAACGTTGTCTTTTTTCAGATCGAAAAGAAATGTTTTAGCTTTCGTTCGATTTTTCTCGTGTGTATCTCAATAAGAGAGGTCTACTTCACACTAGCCCTTCGTCATGTCCATTTATTAAGTCATCAACCTAGTATACCTTTCCCCTCCTTTCAACACAAACAAGGTCCTCCATCATCTCTGCTGATCCACAAGCGGTCCGCAAAACATTGATGGTTGAGAATTACTGTTTTAGACAATTTTTATTTTATAACTTCGTAATTAAAAATGCTACAATTGGCACCAGTGATGATAATTAGCACACTTTTGATAGACATACTTGTTCGCACGTCTGAAATTAGATCATAAGCAACAAAGTAGATTACAGCTTGAAAAATTAAGTATTAAAATATCTTAATTTTAATATCATTATTATTAATCCAAATCGCAGCAATGTATGCCCCCAATTAACGCCACGATCACAAAAATACGCCATTTAACCATAATAGTCTTTACAAAAAGGTATAATTTTGTTGCCTTTTTAGCATATGAAAAACTCTACATCATTATTGAATTAGACAAACAGTCAAACACTGGACGAACAGTCAAACAACCACATGTGCTGAGCGCCAGCCATGGGGAACAGCCCCACTTAAAAATGAATCACCTGCAATAAATATCTTGTTACTGTTATGTGGACTTATCTGGTTTTATAATTTGTTTAAGAACTCTGGCTGAGCTGTCGGTGGTCAGATATAATCCAATAATCAGCATGGCGTTTCCCCATACATTGACCTTGTAACATACGCTTTCATGATCCTCTATTTGCTCTAGTGGAACACATAAAATATTGCTCTTAAATAACAAGGGTACACCCCCTCCTCGGGATCGCCGGTCTCTTCTGAATGCTGTATATAAAGGGGGAAGCAGATTGCCATCTGACATGTCTTTTTTAACCCTGTCTCTGTAATAACAGCCACAGGAGGTCATAAGTTAGCAATGTAGACTCTAGTTGTTCTCCTTTGTTTACCACACTTTGCGTGTTGACACAAATAATTCTAAGTTCTTTTTCGGGACGCTGACAGGATTATTTTTGTCGCTTTGTCATTCAGTTGTTTTTCTCGAGTGGGGGTGAGGGGGGTGAGGAGAGGGGGGTTGGGAGAGCCCACAACTGCTATCACTTTAAAAAAAGGTCAGTGGGTAACTCACTGTCCACCGTCCGGCAGGTCCAGTCCCATAAGCCTGTCATGGGGGCTGAGCACGGACGTGTACGCGGCAAAGTTTGCCGGAGATCCGGAATACGGCTGCACATTGACCCCCCACTTGTCCGGGTCCAAGCTGAATGCTTCCAGTGCCCTCTTCTGGCAGAGCAACTCAATCTTGTCGACAACTTCTGTGCCTCCGTAGTATCTGCATGAGGAACGGAGGCAGACCATTTGGGAATGGTACGAGGAAGTCTGCGCTCGCATCGGGCTAGGCTGGAAACTTTTTGGCTTTATTTGATGAAGTATATATTAACTTTTTTGCACGATAAGTGTCCATGTAAACCACACATAAAAAATAAAAAAAAAATAGGAATGTTCCCGACTGGGGAGCTATTTTTCAAAACTTAAGCCTCAACATACTGTTAAAAAGAAAGAAGATATACAGAAATTAACAAAAAGTTGAGAAGATGGCCATTATAATCAGGGTTCTGCATTTTTGGTATATACCAATAAACCCCTAAAGTTAAGTCCTGAACCAAAATGATGAAAACCGAGCAATACCGAAAAATGCCGAATCGTAGCTGTCCAGTAATAAGAAAGATCCAAGCTTTGAAAAATTAGATTTTTATCTCTTTAGCGTAATTAGCATCATAACTAAGATAATTGGCAAACGTAGTGGCCTCTGTCCGGTAGTTGGAAAAAACAATCTAAAAAAAATGAAAGACGTTTAGAATTCTCTGTAATGCCAAATCAAAGCGCGGCTCTTGAGGAGGGGAGGACATGGAGGGTAGGGTATGCCCTTCCTCCCATTTGTACCCTTCCCTCCTCCTCCCCTCCCACTTAGCGCGAAATTTAGCGAAACTTTTCCAGCTAAATTTAGAGCGGAAACTGAATTGGCGTTAGGGTCATGTGACGTCAATTTTGCTGCTAAATTTAGCGAAAAAATTTTTCCGTGTTGAGTGGCGTCACATGTAACGTCGAGAGTAAAATTTTGCAGCTAAATTTGTCGGGAAATTCATCTGCTAAATTTAGTGGGAAAATTTCACCCTCGTCACATCATTATGGAAAACATCCCATAATGCAATGTGCGAATGCGCCACTCAACCCAGAAACGGGTGCCTAAGAGCTGCGCTCTAAAAGAGCGTTCGCTTACATGTTGATCCAGTATCAAATAAAACCTCAAATTATACTGAATGCTTTTTCCTTGTAAAGGTGTCTTCTATTTGTAAGCAGATCCTTTCAAAAAATTGCATTAACAGAAAAAAAAAAAAAATGAAGGAGATAACAAAAAAAAAATGACCGCATCTCAAAGTGGTGAATGATGTTGATTGGGGCAAAGCTCTGGTGGTGCTGATGATACTGATTTTATTGTTCATAGGTAGTGCTGATGGTGCTGATTTTTTTTTATTGCTCATAGGTAGTGCTGAGTTCCGGGATGCGTCTCGACTTCATTATTACTACTTTATGGTCGGTGAAATGCAGAGCCAGTGATTTTTCTAGCGGATCAGCTTGGATCCGCTAGAAGCCGTGGGAATGCATCTTTACCGCTTAAGTCAACGGTCCATGTCAGAAAGAGAATGTGTGGTATGGAACGTGGTTAGCTCTCGAGTTACTACCACATCTCAGAGCCCCCTACTCGTCCCGCAGTCGTAGTCGAGTGGTTAAGGCGATGGACTAGAAATCCATTGGGGTCTCCCCGCACAGGTTCGAATCCTGTTAACTGCGCAAACATTTTTTCTTTTTATGTGAGCATGGACGACGGACAGACGGACGGACGGACAAGGCTAGACTCTAAGGAGCTTCGCTCCTAATAGGAAAACCTTTTAAGGGAATAGGGTAGGGCAAAATTTTGAAAAAATTTGAGTTTTTGTTTTTTAGGGATTTGGATTTCCCAGTCGTTCCTGAACAATGCTGACTGTGTAATTTGAGCGTGCGCGATTTATCTACAGGAAAAATGACCTTTTCCGAAACCTAGGTGGTGACCGACCACGCCCCCTTTTACACCTATGCACGATCTGTATCTCTCCTATGTTGTAAAAGAACCGTAAAAAAAAAACGCAGATTTTCACTAGGTTTAGCGGAATGTTTATTGCTCGTCCAGCAACAGCAAAAAGCTGTCTAGCTTTTAATTTTTAGCCCCATAAATCCTCAGACACTGCCGGTGTCAGTCGCGACGCGCATACTTTTGCTTCTGCTTCGGCATGCTTCCACGGGCAAGGTAATTTATTGTTTACTTTAACACTAGGTTTGGAATGTTAAAAATGACGAAGACGAAGAAGATATTTTAAAAGCATTGCTTCCAGAGTAGTCGACATAGGTCAATTTCTTATGCCGCCGAGTCCCCGCAACGCATTCTGATGCCTGACGCAGCGACTACCACGTGTGCGTCTTCTTCGAAGCTGTCGCACTCGGCAGCACGCTTTGAAGAGCTCAAGGCAAGTGTTAGTGACTGCAACTGTGCACTGATTGGCAACGACCTTCTGTCCTGTACCGTCGCCGAAGCTGGGTGTGCAAAGTGTGTGGTGGGGACTTGCAGCTGGTTAAAAAAGCAGCACTAAGAGCTGGCGTCGCCTGCACCTACTTTCTGAACTGTGAAAAGTGCTGGTGGACACACTGATTAGAGAGACGTCAAAACGGACAACTTCGAGCCTCTACTTGGCGTTTTACCAGGATGATTCATGGTGCAGTGGTTGTGGGACGTTGACCGGCGACGACTTTACTTGGCAGACAGGGCTACACAGCTCGTCACAAAAGAGGCCCAAAACGCAAGACAGCAAACAAAGAAACTAAATATTGACTATGGAGGTGACAACCTGGCTGGTGGCTACCGAACGGATACATCAGCATGCATTTCTAGAGTGCAAGTTTATTATAAAGTGCCTTTTTTCACTTCAAAGTCGATTATCTCAAAACATAATTTTTTTGCGACGTTTGACCCTTTTTCTCCGAAACCATAAAAACTAGAAGTATCATTTTTTTCCACTAACAAGACAACACAAGGGGGAGTCTACTGAACTAGAATTGTGGAAATTAATCAAGGCAATTTTGTTTGACAAGCTGTTTATTGCCTATTTTGGCATTAAAATTAGAAGGGTCCAGTAAAAACAAAAGCAAAAAAGAACTAAAATATATATAACAATAAATCTAGTTCACTAAAGAGAACACAGAAAGCTAAATACAATAATACCAACATGAATCCTCTAACCCTAGCAGATCCTGAGAAAAAGGGTCACATACATAGGCTGAAACACATGGGAAGAATAGGGCCTACCCTGTTCCCTTAACTAGCTCAATCGACTGATTCAAGAGATCTATGTGGTTTGCTATTTTTTCCCCTTTGAGGGACTAGTCACACCTGTCTGTTTAAAATCCAGCTAATAGGAACCGACAGGTCTCGCATAATGCCACAGCACCATCCGATGCTCCCCATCATTATTCCAGTGCGGAAGGTAAAAGCCCAATTATTTTCAGTAACTCTAACAACAAAATGGCTGACTTACCTTTGACCAGGATATCCTTCAGAGTATTTGTTATTTAGACATGATCCCAATGCCTCGAGGACAGAACGACTGGCGAAGTTCTGAACATTAAAGAAAAAAACAACATGAGAATTGGTACATGAACAAATTAGATTTATTAAAGCCTAACATTTGATAAATATATAGTACAGACACAAGATAGGAAAGGCACACTGAATGCTTGCGCTAAGCAGTTCAAAATCGTGATGATAAGAGATTGAGTGGCAACTACTTAAACAGAAGCCTGAAGACTGGAACACACGCAAAAAGAAATTAACCGAAAATCACCTACATGAGACAATCCACACCATTTTTACAAAACAAAAATGTGTGGGCAGCTATCGTACAGGATCCACAAATATGGTTTTAATGTAACCATATTTGTGACTTATGTGCAGTAAATACCACAACTCTTTTTAAAATAGCGTGGAACAATTTTTGCATGTTCTAAATTTCGTGCAATTTACAGCTGATTTTTTACACACATGTTCCAGTTTTTAATGTCACATATATTTTGAAGCAGCCGTACACTAGTCACAATCACTAATTAAAAGAAACATGTGAAATGAAGGTACACGCAAAATCCAAAAAAAAAAAAAATGACAAAAAATTAATCTATGGAAGACAGGTTTATAAACTGTAACTGTGCAGGAACACACTGCAAAGAAAAGTTTGATGTTCCTCATTCAGCATGCATTTGTTTTGCTTTCTAAGGAACGTCTAAACAAAAAAAAAAAGGGCAAAAGAATGCTCCCCATTTGACTATTTGAGGAAGTGAAATAAAAAAAAGAAAAGCAACCTTAGAACTTTACTGAGATGACAAGTGGTATAATATGGTTTTTAATAGTGTGCCAATCACCGTAAACAAGCAGTATTCAGTTGCACAATCCAGAAGCAAGTTTCTAGTTTCTGGTTTGTACTGTTTGCCTAATCATCTCTGTGACATGCATAAAAAAAAGAAAAAAAGAAAGAAAGATGCCAGGAATATATAAATCTTGAGACAGAGCTTATGCATCACATTAGATTTTCAACCTGTCTTCTTACTTCAGCGCTAATTACAACCATACTCATGGAAGCAAAACCCAAATTCAAAAAGTTGAGGGCATCTACCCGAGCCACATGACAAGAAAGAGCAAAGGAAATGGCGAGTAAAGCTCAGGAAACTCGTACCTCGGATGCGATTAGCTCCAGCCCAGTGACCTGGCGCCTTTTCTCCTCCTTCACCAGCTCCCATATCTCGGGGTCCTCTTTCTCCAGCACCTCCTGGCCGATCCAGGAGCTGCAAAACCTTGGGAACAGCAGGTTCCTCTTGCCCAGGATTCGCTGGAATGTAAATCGACAGCGAGTATTGAAAGCTGCTTGGGATTAGAGTTCACTTGTGGGTTGGAACTTGTGAAGGGAGACAGCACAAAGGGCGCAGTCAGGATGGGGGCGCATGAACCTGAAGACACCCATCCCCCGAAGTACGGCCAATCTTAGAATATATGCATGCATGAAACCCCCCTCCAAAAGTCACTGAGGTCTTTATCGTCTCAACCCATCCTGAAAAAAGTTCTTCTGGCTATGCCACTGGTCAGTGGCATAGCCAGTGATGTGATTTGTTCGAGTACTTTTGGAGCACCTTCTGGAGCAGCCAAAAGTTAATTTTGAAGCAGCAAAGAATATTTTTAAAGCACAAACAAATTCTTGATTCTTACCAATTCTACTGCAGAAACTATGTAAAGATTCATGTGTTGGCCTGTCCAAATAAGATACAGCACATTCTTGCCTTCAGTGTAGCCACATCATTAGCATCAACTTTGAATCATTTAATTAAATTGCATAGTTGTTGTTGTTGTTGTATGGGGGCTTTATGGCACAACAGCTACGGAGGCCCTACTGCGCCAAACAAATTTTAAAAAACCAGCTGTTATTGTCAATGTGCTACAGAATATTAATAATTACCTTGGTAGGGCTAGATCTTATTAATAAAACCTGCACTAGTAATAAAAGACCACACACGGTCGGATGGGATGAGGGGATATTCTACCAGCAAAGGAGCAGGATGGAATGGGATTTGGAAGTGAAACAATTCAGAAAAGTGAGTGTGACGTTCCTTGTCCAAAGCTGAACAGAGTCACAAGATATGCATAACGGTAAGCGTATCTCCACAATGCTCACACACCGGTGGGTCCTCTCCACTAAGAAGATATTTGTGCGTTATGTAAGAATGACCGATCCGAAGACGACACAATAATACTTCATGGAATCAGTTCTTGTGAGAAGAGCTATCCCAGAGCCGAAGAACCGGCTTTGCAATATGAAGTTTATTGTTGCACACCGTGTTCCATTCAGACTGCCATAAACGAAGAAGGAATGACTTTGTTAGAGGTTTAATGTCTTGGTGTGGCAAACAGGCATAAGATGAGGGAAGATTACCTGAGGATGTAGCGAGTCTGTCTGCTTCTTCATTATTTTTTTATTCCCATATGACTGGGCACCCAACAAAATTTTATATCAAGGCCTCCATGTACAGCTTTATTAAGCTTTGTTTGAAGTTGCTGCACCAGTGTATTCTTAGAAACTCTCAAAGAGCATATTGCGGTAACAGCACTTCGAGAGTCTACAAATAGGAGAGCCTGTTTTATTTTAGCCCGGAGAATATAATCTATGGCCTTAGATATTGCATAAACTTCAGCTGTAAAAATGCTGGAGAGAGCATTTAGGCGCTTCACTTTAATAATACAATCAGAATGCACGGCGCTGACAACAAATGACGACGTCTTGGCGCCATCGGTGTAAAAATGAGTGTAATTCTCATACTTCTTCTCAAGCTCAGAAAATTACTGTTGGAGGGGCAAGCCCGCGTGTGTTGCCGCCGTGCGGGAAGTCAACCTCCACCTGCTCATGGTGCACCCTGCCAGCTTCATTGCTGCAACGGAGGCTCTGGCGAAAACCCCCCCACCTGGGGTGGGGAACCCTAGCACTGGGGTTCCTTATGTGGACGGGGGGGGACAAAAAGGGCCTGGAAACCCTAGCTTTCCCCGCTGGAGGACGGAGCCCCTGAGGCGGGGAGCGCGGCGTGTGACGCGTGGCGTGGGGCGTGTGGACGCGTCAGCTCGCATTACGTAAGCGACCCAAATGTGTGGACGCATGACGTGCGACGACCTGAACTGTAAAGGGATGGAAGTGTGACGTGAAGTGTGTTGACATGACATGTGTCGACGCATGACATGTGACGACCTGAACTGAAAAGGGATGGAAGTGTGACGTGAAGCGTGTTGACATGTGGGGAGTAGGCAATGGAGTGGCTGACGAGGATCGCGACGTAAGACGCGGGACATGTGACGCTGCGTGGTGATCCGAGACAAGGCATCCATACAAGGGGAAGGCTGTCATAAAGGTGGTGCCTCTCGTATCTTCCCAAGTAGGGAGGTGCCCCCGCAGGATTGCGGGTGTGGTCTCCAGGGGAGCCGAGGGATATAAAAGTGATCACTGCGACGGGGCTGTGCGGTTCATGGTTGCCATTCAGTGACCGTCGGACTCGCTGTGAGACGCACTCGTGTCTTAGTAGCAGAGCTGCACAGCGAGTCGAGCACGTGAGTACTTTTAGTACCGGTTGGTTTTCCCGGGCCGTTCCACTGGCTGTTACAATGGTTGGTTTCATTTATCCCCACTTAACTCCAATTGACTTTTTCTGAAAATTCCCATTTGATCACACGATAAAATTCATTTTTATTTGAATTGGCTTTAAATCGGCTGTGCCCTCGAGGCGGTACCGATTGAGGCATTTTTATTTTTCAATCTTTTTAGCAAAGCCTCGCCTTATCAAATGTTGGATGATAAGGGCAGGGACGCTATGTATATTACACCTTATGAGAGCCCAGTCACAAGCAAATGACACTTGTCCCAGGTGGCAATACAGTCTGCATTCTGCAAAAGATTAACTTCGTCCAAACAAAGATAAAGTGAGGAACAAAACTGCTCCATTCGGAAACTCAAGGGCCTTACGATGCTTGGCTTATTCTCAAAGAGGCGGCAAAATCTAGATTTTTGTTGGGAATGGTAGGTCGGATGATTACGGTTAGCAAGTATCTTGTAGTAATAAGTTAAGCTGAAATGTTGGCGTCTTTTCTCCAGTGACATCTCAGTTGTTTCAGCATACAGGCTGAGGACGGAAGACGTCCGAAAAGTACTTGTTGTGAGTCGCAGTCCAAGGTGATGGACTGGATCCAACAACTTGAGTGCAGACGGTTGTGCAGAACCGTAAACTGGAGCCCCATAGTCGAGACGGGATCGAACAAGAGTATAGTATAAGACGTAAAAGGCATTTTCTGTCAGATCCCCAAGTTTTATGGACTAAGACTTTCAAAATATTCACAGTTTTGAGACATTTTTCTTTGAGTGACTTGAGGTGAGAAATAAAATTGAGCTTTTTGTCAAAGGTAACACCTAAGAACTTGTGCTCTTTCCTGACAGGGATGCAGGTTCTTTGCAGTTTCAAGGATGAATCTAGTGATAGACCACGGCGTAAAGAAAATGGGACACAGACTCTTTTCTCGGGAAAAAACTTAAAACCATTTTCGTCCGCCCACTTAGCAAGCTTACCATAAAATCCAGAGAGATAGTCCACCTAAAATTGAGAGAAAATTGGGTGAAAATAAGGAGTGGGCCAACTTTCAATGTACAATCAAGAAAAGTGGAAAAAAAAAAAAATTTTAGATCATGTCTTTGTCAAGCTTGTTATCTCGGCAAGGGACAATGAAGCAAAGATTTCTGAACTTCCCAGTCAGCAATGTTCGCTTATATCCCGCCATAGCTAAATGGACATTTACGCCAAGGTCATCATTGATCCCAACACTACAATTACTAGGAGTGGGCTAGCTCTCAGTGTTTAAAAGAAAATAGCAAATCAAGCCAAGAATTGGGGTGGGTTACCTTTTGGTGGTGGGGCATCTCTCAGGATTTTACGGTATTTACGGCAAGATGTAGCTGGCGCTCGCAGCTCGAGAGACTGCACGACGATGCTGAGATTTGGATATCGTCAATATAAAGCGAGTACATAATGGACGGTGGCAAAACCTGAGCGAGAGAATTCATTTTGATAACAAAAAGTGTAACACTCAGGATACCTCCCTGGGGAACCCCGTTTTCCTGAACGAATGGATCCGACAAAACAGTTCCTAATCTAACCTGAAACGTCCTGTCTGTCAAAAAATCTTATGCACTGCAGCATATGGTCGCGAATTCCATAGCCATAAAGGTCTTGGAGGATGGCATATCTCCATGCTGTATCGTAGGCCTTTTCTAAGTCAAAAAAGACTGATACACAATCCTGCCTATTCGCGAATGCTTCACGTATGGCCGTTTCTAAGCGCACCAAATGATCCCAGGTCGATCGTCCTCGGCGGAACCCGCACTGATTGTTATCCAAAATGCTTTCCTTTTCTAAAACATACATCAGCCGCCTGTTTATCAGCCTTTTATGTTTTCCCAAGGCAGCTGGTTAAAGCAATCGGATGATAACTAGAGAGCAGAGATGGATCCTTACCCGGCTTCAGGAGAGGGATAATCTGCACCTGTTTCCAAGCTGCTGGAAAACTAGCCCTTTTCCACAATGAACTGAAGAAATTAAGAAGGGACTCGAGAGATTGTGGAGAGAGATTACGCAGCATTTCGTAATGCGGTCCATCGGGTCCAGGAGCAGAGAGCTTTTTTTATATCAAGGGCAATCTTTAGCTCGTACTGTGTGAAAGGCTGATTATAAGATGCAGTGTTTGATCCCGTTGCAACTATATCATGTTGCTCTGCACGTCGCTTAAACAACTTGAAGGAATCTCAGTGATTAGAAGTACTTCCCAAAGATGTTAGCGGTACCTTTCAGTGATACAGATGGAGGACTGAAAACGGGAGTCTTGAAACCCCTGTAGTCCCCTTTGATGCTCTTGAATCTACCCCAGACCTCCTTAGCAGTTACAAAGCTGCTCAGAGACAACACATATTTTATCCAGGTTTTCCGTTTCGATTGTTCATGGGTCCACCGGGCTTTAGCTTTTCGTTTTTTTACCAGGTTTCTTGAGGTGGGATACCGCCTGAACTGGCCCCATGCCTTATTTTGCTCCTTGCGCGTTAATGGCACACTCCTTATTCCACCAAGGTTTCCACTTACGAGGCAGATTACCGGTAGTTTGGGGAATTGACTGCTGAGCAGCGTTTATTATCTGCCCTGTCACATACAATGTGGCTTCATCCGCAGTCATGGAGGAAAACATGGATGTATCCAGCGTGGAGCTTAACTTAAAAAGAGAGCAATCGGCTTTGTCGAACTTCCACCGAGGCATTCG